GAGTGGTCTCAGCATGGTGGTGGCTGGTCCTGGAGGTCTTCGGCTGCCGGAGCCCTGGTCGGGACGGGGAGGAAAGCTCAACCGGCTCCCCTCCAAGGGATCCCTGCAAGCAAGGACAGTCAGGCGCGGGGGCAGGAGACTGCACTGTTCTCTTCCGGGAGCTGGTTTTTATAGTCTCCTGCTCCCGCGCCTGACTGTCCTTGCTTGCAGGGATCCCTTGGAGGGGAGCCGGTTGAGCTTTCCTCCCCACCCCGACCAGGGCTCCGGCAGCCGAAGACCTCCAGGACCAGCCACCACCATGCTGAGACCACTCTCCGCACACATGAAGGTACTGGCAGAGGGACAAAGTCACGCGGGTTCCGGGGCCGAGATCTCCAAGCCTACTCGGATTTGGGCCGAGCATCCTCCACCCAGATCCTCTAAATTCCAGTAGGGAGGGATCACACCCACCAACTGGCCCCCTGGAGCCATGTAATCCCATCAACGGCCAAGACTCAGAGACTATCAAGTCAATAGAATTTAAATTTTATTTCAGCACCCAGATCTTTAAAGTCACTTCTATTTTGTGAAATTATTCTCTATTTAAGATGTTAACACAATAAGCAGTTCTTTAAAAGGTGGCAATTAGGATGGATTTTCTTTTGGTTTCTTTGGTTTGGGTTGGGTTATTTTGTTTGACTGTGATACAAGTATTTTAATTTAGAATTAAAAATATAAATGGGGGTATGGTGCCTCCAGCAGGTCAATCTGTACCTGTGAGGTGAGTGCATCAGCAGCCTGATGGCAACGTCAGACATTCAGATACCCCAAAATTGCTGCTGTGCCTTTGACCAGACCCCAAAAACTTGGGGCAAAGTTTAACAAGAAAGTAAACGGCCAAAAGTTAGGTATGTGGAGACACACCCACAAACCACCTCCAGCTCACCTATATAATTGGAGGCATGGCCTCTCTGGTTCCTGATCAAACTGCTTAATGGCCATGATCCCAGAGTCTCAGAAACGAATTTTGGAACCTAAAGGCTTTTGGCAGATATGCGTCCTGTTCCGGCAGTAGCTTACTGGTGCTGGGCCACTCCAGGTGGGAATAGGTTTTGTGCCTTGGCCTGTTCCCCCTGGCGGCCTGCTGACCGCCATCCTCCAGAGGCCACTGGACAGTCAGGTTTGGGCCTGCAGTGACGAGACACACGGGGCCTCACCACATGGGGGTGGAGCAGACTCTTTCTCCCCATCTCAAGGAGACCCCGAGTCGCTGCCTACAAAAGGCCTCTCTGGCTTCTGATCAAGCTGATTAATAGCCATGATACCAGAGACTCAAAACAAATCTTGAAACTCAGCTGCTTTTGGCAGAAATGCATCTGAACTGCATACAAGGTGGCCGCTGCCTCAGAGCTTATTGGAAAACCAGATATGAACGGTCGGTGACAGGGTAACTGCAGTCTCATGGGAAGGGGGGCAGTACCGGCTCGTCCTTCACGCCCCACTGAGGTCACAAGTTGCCCCCCACAAGTGGCTTTCTGGCACGGCCATGGCTCCACAGGCAAAAGAACTTAATACAGAGCCCGGAAGCTTGCAGCAGAAAAGTGAATGGACCATGCGTTAAACTACAGTGCCACGCCTCCTCAGGAAAGAAAGGGTGTTGCTCCCTTCCGCCTTTCTCCCCACTGGCAGCAAGATGGCCACCACCTCCGAGCATATTGGAAAGCCAGTATGAGCCAGCGGTGACAGGGCAACTGCAGTCTCACGGGAAGGGGGGTGGTACCGGCTCATCCTTCACGCTCTACTGAGGTCATGAGTTGCCCCCACAAGCAGCTCTCTGGCACGGCCATGGCTCCAGAGGCAAAAGGACTTAGTCCAGAGCCCAAGAGGTTGCAGAAGAAAAGTGAATGGACCATGCATTAAACTACGGCGCCATGCCTCCCCAGGAGGGAAAGGATGTTGCTCCCTTCCGCCTTTTTCCCCCCTGGCAGCAAGGTGGCCACCGCCTCCGAGCGTATTGGAAGCCAGGTATGAGCCGACAGTGACGGGCAACTGCAGTCTCATGGGAAGGGGGGGCGGTACCCGCATGTCCTTCACGACCTACCGAGGTCACGAGTTACCCCCCACGAGCGGCTCTCTGGCACGGCCATAACACCAGACACACAGAAACCAATCTCGTAATTATCTGGCTCTTTTCAGAAATCCAAAATTGTGGCCGCATGACATTATATGATTCCTCATAACCAGCTATAGAAAACAAAATATTTCACAATGCCTTTTCAGCAATTCTGATTGTTTGGGGGGAAATTCTAAACAATAATGGTGCATCTTTTGTCGAAATAATTAATGTAATCAATGTAGAGAAGAGTTAAGTAGAAATCATCTGCCTCACAGGCATTTGGAAGGGTGGAAGGGGGGTATATTGGGGTTCTTGGTGGTGAAAAATGAGTACTGGTGAAGGGAAAGGTGTTTGATCATTGTATGACCGAGACTTAAACCTCAAAGCTTAGTAACTTTTCCCACACTGATTCAATAAATAAATATAAAAAGAAAAAAATTAAGGTGTTCATGCCCAATTCAATCAGCTAATCAGTGGCTGAGTAAATAGCAGTACTCCTACAAAAAAAAATATATATATATATAATGTGGCAATACACATTTCCAATTATTTTCAGAGTGAAGATGCCTTTACCCATAAAGATTTAAAGTGATTTTTTTGGTCTTTGTCTAGGAGTTTGAACAGAGCTATTAATGAGTAATTTCATTTTGAATGTTTATGTAAATTGCTTGACTTCTTGTGTGTGCTTCAATTTATATTGTTTCTTTGTATAATTTGATACACAAAACTATGCCATAAACTCCAAAAGTGATAAAAGGAGATTAACAACTGGTCATTGATTTTGTTTTCCTTCTGTGACTTTTAACCATTCAGACTCTATTAGGAACAAGCAGTTCTTCCTTTAGGAAATTCTATGGACAAAGGCTGTAGTTTGGCAGTCACTAATAGTTGTTAGTCTGCTGCTACACAGTAGCACCAATTCAACTGGGGGTGGGGGGAAGGCTGGTGGCGGGGGTTAGGGGTACTGAGAGGGAAACTGGGGTCATTGTCATTGGTAGTAGGGAATATATACATGCACACTGGTGGAGGGATGAGTGTTGGAACATTGTTTTGACTAAAAACCCAACCATGAACAGCTTTGTAACTGTGTATCTTATGGTGATTAAAAAAAATTAAAAAACAAGTCAAAATTGCTGGTTTATAACTACAACAAGTAACAACAAAACCACTGGCTTTCCCAGGCTCTTACAGATTAGTGAAGTCTTAACAGATATTAAACTGCTGTTAGATTTTTAACTTTTGTTACTTTGATAATTTCTATACTTTTTTTTCTTTTTTGGTTTGGGAGTCACCAGCAAGGGTGCACAGGGGCTATTCTGTCTGTAATGATGAGGAAAGACACAGTTTTCATTTAATGGGTTTCCACAAGCAACATAAGTGCTCCAGATCTTCCAGCCATCTCTAGTCCCATATCATTGCCTTTATCCAAAGAGCTGCATCAAATGAGCTTGATAACTGATTTCTGATCATTTCTTAATCTGAAAGTTTAGATCTCTAAACAATTATCTATTCATTATACTCTGAAAAAAAATCAGTGATCTTGTTCAACTAAATTTCCTAAAAATATGACTCAGAGTTTTCTGGCATTTGTTTTTAAATCCCTAAGCTATGAATATATATGTATGTATATATATATATATATATATATATATTAACCAAACAATGGTCCATGGAATGTGAAATTCCTGTCGACTAAAAAAATATGATGGGAAATTCAATTCTTCCATAAAAAGTATTATAAAATTAGTTTAATCATGCAAAATGTGTTGATTGTTGACATGTTAGAAAAATAGAAATAATTTTTAAAACTGCTCCTTCATCTTATTCACGGAAGCAATTTAGAACTAGTCTATTGAGTGAGGTGGCCATCTGGTGACTGGAAAGAGCATTACAGACTCTATTCTGCGTGACGTGAATATGGTAAAAATTAGACACAAACCAATCGAACCACAAAAAAACAGAAGCAATATGACAGAAAATCAATGTCAGTCACATAGGTAATTTTTTCTAATAGTTTTGAAAAACCAAAAAAAATAACATACTTGTGCTTATCTCCATCTATCAAAAAAACCGTGAAATCAATGCAAAAACAAATCATTGTTTTTAGATTAAGTCATCAAAATAGTGTCATTTTACAGCACATCTAGCCACACGTGGCTGTAGGTAACGGTTCATAGATTTCAAGAACTAAACGACTGCCTTTTAACTAAGTTCTTTAGTTTCTCAACCCCATCACCGTACTCTTCTCTTCCCTCGGCTTTAAACTTGACTTTTGGGGTAATCAGTGGTTGCCTCCTGGGCATTTCTGGTAATACTTGGAAGGCCAGCAAAGGCGTGAACAAGAAGTACAAGGCCCTTGGAGGGTGCATTTTCTCCCTGAGAGTCTGGGATGTGGTGCCAGCACCATCTACGACTCTGCCCGTGGGGTCAGCTACATTCCAGGAGGCCAGCAGTCCTTGGAGGGAGGTGGCCAACACCGGGGGGCTGGGAATTAGCATCCATCCCGGCCAAAGGGTGGGTCGCCTTGTGACATCACAGCGCGATGTCCTTGGGGGTTTAAGGGCAGCGGAGCAAACGACTTCCGAAGGTCAAAGCGTTTCTATAAAGAGCCAGACTGGAGGAGACAATGACTCGATCGCCGCCACCACGCCGGTGACGCGTTGCCTACAGGCCAGTCCTCTCCCCGCCCGAAGGCAGGTGTAACGATGCCAGCAGGTACAAAGCCACCGCCGGCCGGTGGCGACTCACAATTTCCCAAGAGCACCAGCGGGGTCTTCCGGGTGGACCCCTATCTTTGCTGATTGGGTGACGGCTTCCGTCACGTGCTCTGGAACGGGTCGCCCTTGCTTTCCCCGCCCCTCTCATTCAGCTCGGCGCTTGGAGGTCGCTGGAGGCGGAGGGCGGGTTTCCTAGGCAACGGCAGCGGGTAGCAGTGTACACACCAGGCCCAGGGCGAGAGACTAGCGCCGCTCCTACCGCTGCTAGAAAGGACTGGGAGCTCGGCCCGGCTTCGGATTGCTCCGGACTCCATCCTCTTCTGGGCGAAGGTAAGAGCCTGTCACCTGGTGGCCTCTGGACGTAAGGCACCTGGAAGCAAGCCTGGGGAGTCGTTGCTCCCTCCTCCACCCCTCCCCGGCAACCCGGAGAGGAAGGGTGGCTGAGATGCAACGATGAGGTCGAAGGATGCCGTAAAGGTGCGGTAAGATGATGACTGATAATGAGGGGCAGTGACGTGGATTTGTCTGAGGCCTTTTGGAGCAATGGAAGGCTGGTCCTCGGGCTGAGAGAGAACGAAGTGCTCTATGATCAAACCTAGTATGACTCACCTAGACCCAGCAGGGGGCGTTGTTTGGACCATCAGTGGTAATGAATGCGCCTGGATCCCTTTTTACAGTTTAGTCACCCAAGGTGTCTAGTGTATAGCAAAGAAATATTCTCAGAAAGAAACCCTACCCTTCCTACTTAGTTTATCTCACAGACAGGTAGACATTTATTATTATATTTTGATTGGTCACATCAAGAAGTATTTCTTGAAGTTATACCATACAGAAGCCTAGAGGGTGACAGTTCCGTCTACTCTACAAAGTTTCACAGAACACTTAAATTGCCAGTCTCTCTAGTGGGACTTGGGTACTGCCTTTGACTAACTTTTAATTCAGCAAGGAGGAAACACTTGCAACATTACAGTCCAAGTAGATCAGGTAGGAAGGCTTTCCCTCTGGGCACAATGAGCATTAATTAATCAGAAACATTAAACATTAGATCAGAGTGTTGATAGGTCATCTCTTCTGATGAGGAGAGGTACCAGAAAACGCTCCTTTAACTAGTATGCCATCTGAGTAAATCCAGGGAGGAAGGTCTAGGTTGCACATACTTGTGTGCTGCTGGCAGAGTATTAATGTTTTTAGGTTCCCTTGCTAAGTGATCCCTTACCTGGCCACTCCTGCAACCTATATGCTAAAATACTTGGAAGTGGGCCAATGAAATGTCACTTAATCACTTAATCACTTAACTTCCCGTTAGTCGTCGATTTGCTCGAGCGGGCGCCAGTAACGTCTCCATTTGTCCCTGTCGCGTGCTAGTGTAGCCCAATGGCATCTGTTCGCTCCGGGAACATGAAGGGCCTCAAACCGATCGTTCATGATCTTGACGAAGAAGTCTGACCATCTGGTAGGTGGGCGGCCACGCGGTCTCTTGACATCCCGTGGAATCCAATCAGTAACAGCTCTAGTCCAACGGTCGTCTTTAAATCTCATTACGTGACCAGCCCATCTGATTTTCGACACCTTGGCAAATGAGACAGCGTCCCTGATCCTTGATCGTCGATGGATGTCAGAACTCCGGATTCGTTCTCTCATTTGAGTGAAACGTGATATTCCAAGCATAGCTCTTTCTATTCCTCTTTGGGAGACCTGAATAGCGTTCTCATCTTGTTTGCGTAGGGCCCAGGTCTCTGAGGCATGTGTTAATGCAGGAAGAACAGTGGAATCAAAGAGATGTGCCCGGAGCCGGAGGTTCTTCGTCCTCTTAGCTATTTCTTCGACATTCTTGAAGGCGTTCCAAGCCGCTCTCTTCCTCCTGCGCAGCTTGGGTGCCAGGTCATTTCTCATGTTGACCTCTCGACCTAGGTACACATAGCTGTTGCATTCGGAGATGGTCGTTCCATTGAGAGCGAATGGGGCGTCAGGAACAAGGCTGTTTCTCATAAACATTGTCTTCGTAAGATTCAGCTGTAGTCCTACCTTTCCACACTCACGGTCAAAGTCGGCCAGCATTTGTGCCGCTTGGCTGATGTTTGGTGTTATTAAAACAATGTCATCAGCAAAGCAGAGGTGGTGTAGTTGCCGACCATCTATCTTCACTCCCATGGAATGTATGAAGGAATAATCAGTATCATCTTCAAGATAGATCCATCATCTAAGAATTTTTTCACCATCCTCACTACTACTATCCAACTCCACTCCCCCATCCTCCTATTATTACAGCTTGTTTCTTTTTTTAAAAAATATGTATGTAATTTTATTTTTTTAATTTATATTAGTGAAACACCATGAGGTACAGCTGTGAACTTACAAATTTTTGTGCTTGGATTTCAACTGTACAATTATCAAATACCCATCCCTCCACCAGTGCCCATTTTCCACCACCAGAGGTCCCAATATTCCTCCCACCATCCCCCCACCCGACCCTGCCTCTGTGGTAGGGCATTCCCTTTTGTTCTCTCTCTCCTTTTGGGTGCTGTGCTTTGCGAAATAGGCATTGAGTGGCAATCATGTTTGGTCTATAGTCTACTTTCAGCATGGTTCTCCCATCCTGGGCGGATACTCCCAACACCCTTTGTTTGGTGCTCCCTTCTCTATCTGAGCTCCTTTTCCCCTCGCATGTGTGGCTGGCCTCCAAGCCATGGAGCAAACCTCCTGCTACTAATCTTGGCCATTCTTGGGTGTTCGTCTCCTATTTTGTTACTTTTTTTTAAAAATTTTTTTATTAAAAATTTTTTAATAGTGAGACATCATGAGGTACAGTTGCAGACTTACACATTTTTGTGCTTGGGTTTCAATTATATAATGATCAAATACCCATCCCTCCACCGGTGCCCATTTCCCACCACCACGGATCCCAGTATCCCTCCCACCCCCCATCCCCCCACATCCCACCCTGGCTCTGTGGCAAGGCATTCCCTTTTGTTCTCTCTCTCTCTTATTGGGTGCTGTGGTTTGCAAAAGAGGCAATGGGTGACAACCATGTTTAGTCTATAGTCTACTTTCGGCATGCTTCTCCCATCCTGGGAGGATCCTCCCAACACCTTTATTTGGTGTTCCCCGCTTTATCTGAGCTCCCTTTTCCCCTAGTATGTGTAGTTGGCCTCCAAATCATGGAGTAAAATTCCTGGTACTAATCTCGGCCAATTCTTGGGTGTTAGTTTCCTATTTTGTTACTTTATGTTCCCCAGATGAATGCAATCTTTCTGTCTGTTCCTCTCTTTCTGACTTATTTTGCTTAGCATGATACTTTCCATGTAGTACCACTTGTATGTAAATTTCATGACTTCATTTTTTTCTAACTGCTACATAGTACTCCATTGTGTAGATGTACCAAAGTTTCTTTAACCAGTCATCTGTTCTTGGGCACTCAGGCTTTTTCCAGATTCTGGCTATTGTAAAGAGTGCTGCAATGAACAAACAAGTGCAGATGTCACTTCGACTCTACTTTTTTGCCTCTCTGGGATATATTCCCAAGAGTGGTATTGCTGGGTCAAATGGAAGCTCAATTTCTAATTTTTTGAGAATTGTCCATACTATTTTCCAAAAGGTCTGAACCAGTTGGCATTCCCACCAGCAGTTAAGGAAGGTCCCTTTCTCGTCACATCCACACCAACACAGATTGCTTTTGTTCTTTTGGATGTGGGCCAGTCTCTGTGGTGTGAAATGATATTTCATTGTGGATTTGATCTGCATATCCCTGATGATTAATGATGTAGAGCATTTTCTCATGTGCCTTTTTGCCATTGGGATTTCTTCTTTGAGAAATTTTCTGTTCATTTCATCGCCTTGTTATTTGATGGGGTTGGATGTTTTCTTCTTGTGGAGTTCAACTAGTACTTTGTATATCCTTAATATCAACCCCTTGTCTGATGTGTATTCGGTGAATAACCTTTCCCATTCTGTAGACTGTCTTTGTATTTTGGTCACTGTTTCTTTTGAGGTGCAGAAACTTCTTAGTTTAAGATAGACCCATTTATCTATCTCTGTTTTCACTTGCTTGGCCAGTGGCGTGACATCTTTGAAGATACCATTAGCTTCAATATCATGAAGGGTTTTGCCAACTTTTTCTTCAATGTGCCTTATGGATTCCAGTCTGATGTTGAGGTGTTTAATCCATTTTGATCTTACTTTTGTACATGGCGTTAGGCAGAGATCTGAGCCCACTTTTTTGCATGTAGCCGTCCAGTTTTGCCAGCCCAATTTGTTAAAGAGGCTTTCCTTGCTCCACTTCATTTTTCTTGCCCCCTTATCAAAGATTAGATGATCATATGCTTGGGGGGAGATGTCAGTATATTCAACCCTGTTCCATTGGTCTACAGCTCTACCTTTGCTCCAGTACCATGCTATTTTAATTATTACTGCTTTGTAGTAGAGTTTGAAGTTAGGGAGGTTGATTCCTCCCATTTTCTTTTTCCCAAGAATTGCTTTAGCTATTCGTGGGGGCTTGTTGTTCCATATAAATTTCAGGAGTATTTGCTCCATTTCTTTGAAGAATGTCATGGGTATCATAATAGGGATCTCATTGAATTTGTACAGTGCTTTGGGAAGTGTTGCCATTTTGACAATGTTAATTCTCTCGATCCATGAACAGGGGATATTTTTCCATTTCCTCATGTCCTCTTTTATTTCCTGAAGTAGCGTTTTGTAGTTTTCTTTGTACTGGTCCTTTACTTCCTTAGTTAAGCTGATTCCTAGGTACTTGATTTTCTGAGGCACAATTGTGAACGGGATTGTTTTCTTCAGGCCACTTTCTTCTCTTTCACTATTTGCATATAGGAAAGCCATGGACTTTTGGGTATTGATTTTATAGCCTGCCACTTTATTATACAAGTCTATTGTCTCTAGGAGTTTGTTGGTAGAGGCTTTAGGGTTCTCTTAGTATAGTATCATACCATCTGCGAATAAGGAGAGCTTGATTTCTTCCTTTCCTACCTGGATGCCTTTAATATCTTTTTCTTGCCTAATGGCTATTGCAAGTACTTCCAGTAATATATTAAACAGTAGTGGGGAGAGTGGGCATCCTTGTCCCGTCCCTGATCTTAGGGGAAAGGCTCTTAGTTTTTCCCCATTGAGGATGATGCTTGCCGTAGGCTTGTGGTAGATGACTTTAACTATATTGAGGAAAGTCCCCTCTATCCCCATTTTGGCAAGGGTTTTCATCATAAACGGGTACTGGATCTTATCAAATGCCTTCTCTGCATCTATTGATATGATCATATGATTTTTATCTTTTCTTTTGTTGATATGATGAATTATGTTGATTGATTTCCAAATGTTAAACCATCCTTGCATTCCCGGGTGAATCCCACTTGGTCATGGTGTATGATCTTTTTGATGAGTTGTTGAATTCTATTTGCTAGCATTTTGTTGAGAGTCTTTGCATCCATGTTCATCAGGGATATCGGCCTGTAGTTTTCTTTTCTTGTGTTGTCTTTGTTTCCCTTTGGTATTAGAGAGATATGGGCTTCATAGAAACTGTTTGGGAGAGTTTCTGTTTTTACAATTTCATGGAAAAGCTTGAGAAGAACTGGCAGTAGGTCCTCTTTAAATGTTTGGAAAATTCGCTAGTGAATCCATCTGGACCTGAGCTTTTGTTTTTGGGAAGACTTTTGATTACAGTTTCAATTTCCTTGATGTTAATAGGTCTATTCAGGTACTCTATGTCTTCTTGATTCATACAGCTTGTTTCTTGACCCCTCCTGACTTTTTTCAAAAAAAATTGCTAAAGTTATTCTTTTTATTTTTATCTTTAAAAAATTTTTTATTGCATCACTGTGAGATATAGTTGCAAAGCTTTCATAATTGAGTGTCAGTCATACCCCCCTGCCTCTATGGCAGGCACCTTCCTTCTTACTCTTTCTCTACTATTGGGCATTATGGCTTGCAATACAGTAAAGTTATCTTTATTAGACAGCTCGTTTTACTTTCCTACTCACATCTCCACATAGCTTTCCATCTTAGTCATAAAATCTCAACATTCTCACAAGGTCGATGAAGAAGGCACATGATCTGGCCTCACAAAATACCTCTTTGACTTTACACTTAATGATCCTATTCCCTTTCTGGGTTCCAACCACATATTTTCCTCAATATTCTGAAAATGAAATATAATAAGTGTACTTATAACTCACTTTTCACATTTCATCTGCCTTCAGCCTGATGCAATTTCTCCATATTTCCTCAGGCCCCTCATTTCCTTTTGCTCTTTGCTCAAGTGCTACCTAATCAAAGAGTTCTTTCCTTTCCCCCTACTCCTGTCATCCTCTGCCTGGTTCATACTAGGCCTTCAATGCACATATTAATAAGTGAGTAAATGACAAAATGTTTTTCTATTTTTTCTTCTTTTTATTTTATTTTATTGAATCACTGTGAGATATAGTTATGAGCTTTCATGTTTGACTTTCAATCATACAGTGATCAAACACCCATCCCTCCACCAGTGCACATTCCCCACCACCAATATCCCCAGTATATCACTCCCCTTTTCTACCCTCCCATTGCCTCCATGGAAGACAATAATCCCCATACTCTCTCTCTACTTTTGACAGAATGTTTTTCTTTGTGTGGTGCTCAACTTAGCACAGTGGAACAATATTCAGTTTGTAAAGCTTGAGAACATAAACAGATTGTGTGAAACACTCTGATAGAGATTACAGAGCCCTTTTATTTTGTCCATTTACATGTCCTATAGCTACCTTTATCCCAGTCACTAATGTTATGCATTTTGGAGAATTTTTTTGACTATTTGAATTTGGGGCTGTTTTTATGATTGGAGTTTTCTCTCAAGCTGATGTTATCTGGCTCATTTTTATTCAAAAATATTTCTCAAATTTCCTGGAAGTCAGTGCTCTTTCCTTAGCACTATTACACTTTTCTTATTTTCACCTTAATTGTTCTGGTGAGTTTGGGGAAGAAAAGTAGTTAAATACATGGAACAAATATTTCCTTTAAATTCTAAATTTATGTATCTCCCTATATAGGAATATAATTTTCTATGATGAATAAAGTGAGCTTATGGATGTTTTTAAACAACATTTAAGTACCATTTCATTTTTGTTTTGTTTTGGGGTCATACCTGGCAGTGCTCCGAAGTGATGGCTCACTATGGAAGGGGTGCCGGGAATCAAATCCGGAGATGCTGCAAACAAGGCAAATGCATCCCCTGCTGTACTATCACTCTAGCCCCCCAAATACCAATTTATTTTACTAACATTCTGGAGAAATAAAATACATCTTAGGACCTAGTTTCTCATAGTGAACACATTCCTTTAATCAACCCCCACATCATGAACTATATCTTCATCAACACTCCAGAAATCCCTTTATCCATCTTTCCACTCACTTAGCCCTATCCTAACTTCTGATACCATAGATTTTGTTTTTGGAATCACACAGGCTGTACTTACTGCATATACCTATCTTTACTGAACACTATGAGAATCATCCATGTTTATACAATAACGGTTTCTTCCTTTTAAGTATAAATCAAAAATATGTGTGTCCATATCTTACACAACAAAAAAGCACTATTTAGCTCTAAACTGAAAACTTACAAATGTCTACTAATAGTGCATTAATAAATAAATGTTTATGTGTTCATACTGTATAATATTAAGCATACCTTTTTAAAATGTATAATTCTCTTCATTTTTGTCTAGATCTATCCTCATCCAACCTCTCATGCCTATTATAATTATTATCACCTTTAACCTGCTTACAAGGTAACTCATGTTAACAACTTAGTATGTATCTTTTCATATTTTATCTAAGAATTATACACATATGTATATACATACATATTTATTGATATACCCACTGCTTGTGCATATCTGTGAGGGAGTTATTATAAAAAGTGGGATCATGATGCTATTTCTAAGTCTTTATTGATTTATCATTTTGAAACAAGATATTCTTTCTTTCCTTCCCTCTGTCTGTCTTTATCTCTGTCTCTGTCTCTCTGGCTCTTTCTGTCTCTGTCTCTGTCTCTGTCTCTGTCTCTGTCTCTGTCTCTGTCTCTGTCTCTCTCTCTCTCTCTCTCTCTCACACACACACACACACACACACACACATAAACACAGTGCTGGCTAATAAAACCAGGCTCTCACACAGGGCCTTAGACTCTACCACTGGGCCACATCCCCAGGCCTCTATCCGGGATTCTTGTATTTTTTAAACACTATAAATATTGAATAATAATAATGAAAATTAAGAAAATTGAGCTATATTTCATAGAAGCTATTTTGATATTGAGCACTTTCTATCATTTAAATAAATGAGATAATACCTTTCAATTAGCATTACTTTGTCAGCTATGTTGTTACACCCTTCTTTGCTCTTTAAGTATGCTTAATTATTTGTGTCAGTTTTGTATACTGCTGTATAATAGAAAGATAAATTTGAGCCTGTTCAAAGGAGAGTACAGGATATCTAGTGAGAAAACAAAAATACAAGAACTAATGACAAGATAAATATGTAGCAGGACAAGACTTTGATCTTCAATAATTAAGAACTCAGAAGAAAAATTTGTTTTAGTTGAACACAAAGCTGGAATGACTTTGAATGGGGAGGAATTATAGAGAGAAAATTAAATACAGAATAAAATTACTTTCTAATAGAAAATCAGAAATGGAATAGACTCTCATAGGGCCCAGATGGTACTTTGTTAAATTCTATGTGAAAATTGCAGTGATTCCACTAAGTAACTTTTAGATCTTTTTCGACTTGAAATGCCATGTCTCTAGTATTTACTTTCTTTCCATTTTTCATTATAACAGGTTTATTATTATGACTTTTATTTTTAGTGAAAGATGATTGAATATGAAAACGTAAGCCAAGAAGACATAATTAAAGAACTGGTGAGTCAAAGTAAAATTTCAGACACATTTGTAAGAATATAAAATGGAACATTTTGATTTTCATATCCCCCCACTTTCTGTTCTCGAAATTGAACCCAGGGCTTATACATGCACAAAGCATGAATGAGTTACATCCCTAAACCCTAAAATAGGAGATTTTTACAATTACTTAGAAATTTCTTCTATCCAGTGATCTTTGGAAGTAGGTAAATTGTTGTATATGGTATAATTTTCATCCTATAGGAGTCAAGAGGGGCGAGCTGGAGCGATAGTACAGTGGGTAGGGCGTTTGTCTTGCACACAGCCGACACAGGTTCAATCCCCAGCATCCCATATGGTCCCCCAAGCACTGCCAGAAGTAATTCCTGAGTGCAAAGCCAGGAGTAACCCCTGAGCATTGCTGGGCATGACCCAAAAAAGAAAAAAAAAGAGAAGAAAAGAAGCATGCAATTAGCATTTAGTAATTTTTATTAGCAATAATATTTTTATTATTTAAAATAGGTAATAACCCAGATTCTTTTTTGAAAACAGTGTTTATGCAATGGTTTATCTTACGAAGTGGTTGGACAAGAAGGATCTAATGCTTCAAAACTGGAGATGTTTTTCTCAGGTTATCCTCGCATAGTCGGATTGTCATTATTTCCTAATTTAACAAGTCTCACAATTGTTGCTCAAGATATAAAAGAAATTTCAGGGCTACAGTCTTGTTTACAACTTAAAGAACTTTGGATCGCTGAATGCTGCTTAGATGTAAGTCTTAATATATAAACTTCCATGATTTATTTTATACTGCATTTTTTGACTTTGGAAAAATATTTATATGCATGAGGCATGGATCAAAAAAAATGATTATGTGATATTTAAAAGAAAATGTACCTATAATATATCTTAGTAATTAGTAAACGTAGTAATTTCTGGACATGAAGTAACACGGTTTTTTTTTAAAATAGACAATTAAAGGTCTTCAAGAATGTAAACAGTTGGAAAAACTGTATTTATATTGTAATAAAATTTCCAGAATAGAAAATTTAGAGAAATTGCTCAAATTGGAAGTTGTTTGGCTGAACCACAATATAATTAAAAATATTGAGGTAAGATTATTCTAATTATTTATGTGTAAATTTAATTACTATTGAGGAGTCAAAGCACAGTGATTAAGATCATATAAGAGTTAAAGAACTAAAATACTAATTAAAGTAGTTAATTAACATTGTAGAAGAACCAACATGAGTATGTACTTTACAATGTATAGAGAACTTTGTATACATCATCTACTCCTCCTTCTAAACCTGAGAACTTGGGTGCCATTTTTTCTTTGAAAGTTAAAAGAAAAAAAAGTGGTTTGAGGACCAAGAATGTGGTGGTAGTAGAATAATATAGCTCACCTGCTCAAAGCCCTGTTTGATCCCTTTACATTCCCATCTCTTCATATGCATGCAAATTAAAGTTAATTTAAGGAAAAAGAGGTATAACTTGCCTAAGACTATAAACAAACACTTCGTAATATATTTTTTTCCTATTCCTCACTGTCTTCCTCTTCACTTTCTATTCTCTTCTCTCCTCCAGTAGTTTTCTCCAGGTTCCTGTATAAAAGCACAAAGATGCTTCACTGAGGTGCCCATTTACTTCTGTGCATGTGAAGTACACAGTCCCTGGGGTTCAGAGAACTAGCCAAGAGCACTAGCCAAGTGGACAAGCTGATTCATAGATTATTTGAATGATTTATCCTAAAATTTATGTTGTCTGAATTTTTAGGGCTTGAATACTTTGAAGAATTTAAAAGATCTCAATCTTGCTGGAAATCTAATAAATAGCATTGGTATGTATTGTTTCATTTAAAATGTGAGACACTGCTACAGTAAGTCTTTTATTGGTATATAAAAAGTGTATTCTGTGATTTTGTTCTCTTTTGTGTGTGTGATATCTTTGCAAAGCATTTCTAACTCTCAAGTAAGGAAATGTCACCCATTCAGTGATTACTAGTTTTACAGCGTTATCATTTGTCTTGTTTATCTACAAGAAATGATTGCCACTTTTAACTCAGAACTATGACAGAATATGAACTGGTGGTAAAATTAATTTTTTTCATCTTGTTTTTAAATTAAAGGTCGATGTCTTGATCACAATGAACAGCTAGAAAGCTTAAATCTTTCTGGTAACCAAATACGTTCTTTTAAGGTATGTTGAACGGAACCATTCATTTTCATTTCTCAACCTGGATTATGAATCATAGTTTTAGTTTCCTTTTAAGGAATAATTTAATTATTTTTGACTAACCAAAACTGAAAATTTTAGTGAGCCAGCTAAACTGATCCTAATGTCCTGACATTATTAAAACCAAAGAATTATATACTTGGCTTTTAGGTTACCACTTTTTTAGTTTTCTTCTGAAGATACCTTTTCAGTTTTACCATTCTTTCCTAAAGCCTATAAAGGCTGGACTGCCCCAGTAAGTCTGGACCGATCTGCCGTAGTAAGTCCTAAGATCTTTTCCCATATGTGTCTGTATTTGTTCTTTAAATATCCTTTATCTGCTTATTATTACCAAATTAGTACCTCTACATTCCCCAACAGCCCCAGGACTATCTCCTATTCTAATTCAAAATGCTTTCCTCTTCAAGAAAATTCTGCGGCCTCTCCATTGCTCCAAATGGCATTTTCATTGTTACAGTACCTTTGGTTAAAATGCTATTTTGACTCATTGTTTCATACCATATCCTATCCACCAGAAAAGTTTGTATAGTCTACCTTCTGAATATGTTCAGAGTCTATTCATATCTTACAATCTGTAGTGTTATACTATTCTCCTTCAAGAAGCCATCATTTATTTTTTGGGTTTTTTTTTCTGTTTTTGAACTCAACCTGGCTGTGGTCAGGATTTGTTCTTGCTGGGATCACTCCTGGCAGGTCTTGGGGGACCATATGCAGTGCCAGGAATTAAATTCTTGTTAGCCATGTGCATGGCAAGCGCTCTACCCACTATGCTATTACTTTGGTCCCAAGACACCGTCATTTCTGACCTGCATTATTGAGAACAAGCCTTCTGATCATGTTTCTACTTTTATTCTTTTAGTTTGTGTCTTTCTTTGGGGGCCACACCTGGCTGTTCTCAGGGATCACTTCTGGCTTTGAGAGTAAGGATCACTTCTGGTAGTAGTGCTTAGGGCCCATATGTGGTGGTTTGGGGCAAGTCGAGTGCAAGGCAAGAGCCTTACCTTCTGAACTATCTCTCTGACCCCTGCCTTTTTTTTTAATGTAGGAGTACTACTATTTATTCAGCTATGGGTTAAGCTGATTGAATTGGGCATGAATGCCACATTATTTCTTTTTTTAACTGAACCACTGTGAGATAGTTACAAGGCTTTCATGTTTGAGATTCAGCTGTACAATGATCGAATACCCAACCCGCCACCAATACACACTTTCCACCACCTGTGTCCCCAGTATATCCCTCCCCCCACCCCAGTCCTCACCCTGCCTCCATGACAGGCAATTTCCCCCCAATACTCTCTTTCTACTTTTGGGTATTGTATTTTGCTCCAATTTCCCCACCACCATTCAAGCCTGCCTGCCAGGGGCAGATGCTAGATCATTTATTGTCCACTGCTCGTTTTGAATATCACAGATGCTGTGGTCTTGTGCTTCTGGAATCCTAGATTGTAAATGGTTGGGTTCCAGATACATTTCTGTAGGGCACTAATTCATTTTGGGATTCAATTGGGCAGGGAGCCGGGGAGGGACAGCCTGGTACCTCTGCCGCCATGCAGCCTGGAGATTTAGTTCTGGAACTCACATACTTGGGCCTTGTTTGTGGAAGCTCTTGGTCACCAGGATTCCATCAGGAGTTGGTGAGGAGACTGTACCTGCTCCATCTGGGGTGCCCCGGTGAAATTGGCTCCGTATGGGGCCTGGAGAGATCTCTGGCTCTGTGGTGTCTTCCAGAACTCGTTGCTGTGTCTCTGGACCAGGTCTGTTGGTGCCACTAAGATGGCGCCCAGAGGCATGTTGTGGGCGTGAAAGTCAGGCAGAAGAGTGGGTGGGGTGCTGGGGAGGGACACCCTGCTTTTTTGTAAATTAGTTTTTTTACTGTATCACTGTGAGATAGACCCTTATAAAGCTGTTCATGATTAGGTTTCAGTCATACAGTATTCCAACACCTATCCCTCCACCAGTGCACATTTCCCAGCACCAGTATTCCCAGTTTCCCTTCCATCACTGCCCTCCCCCCACCAGTTTTCTTGTGTTACTGTCAGTAGGGGCTGGAGCAATAGCACAGCGGGTGGGGCATTTGCCTTGAACGAGGTCGACCCAGGTTCAATTCCTCCTTCCCTCTTGAAGAGCCTGGCAAGCTACCAAGAGTATCCTGCCCACACGACAGAGCCTGGCAAGCTACCCATGGTGTATTTGATATGCCAAAAACAGTAGCGACAAGTCTCACAATGGAGATTTTACTGGAGCAAATTGATGAACAACAGGACGACAGTACTACAGTGCAGTGCTACTATCGATATATTCTCCACACAATCTTGATGCTTAACTTCTTTTCCTGATCAAATCAGTCTTTTCAAAACTCCCTTGACTTCTCCTCTCTGCAAAGTATAAGCCAATTCTTAGAAGGGCCCACAAGACTTTAATCTAATCCTCTTACTGTCTCTCTGACCACATATTATTCTTTTCCTCCTATTTACTACTTTATAGCCACTCTGGTCTCCTTACTTTTACTTAAATATAGCTTAACACACATTCATCTTAGAATTTTTGTGTTTGCAGGAATGTTCTTTCTCTAGATACCAGTATAGATAAATATGTAGAGAGATATAAATATATCTATACATATATCTATACATATTATATATATCTCTATACATATTTATATCCATACATAGAGATATAAATATATCTATATGTATATGTACACATATACATGTAGATATATACATATAAATATTTGTCATAAATATAAATATAATATATTTATATTTATATATCTACATGTATATGTGTATATATAGATATCCTTGGCTCGTTTTCTCCTTTTATTGTTTTTGTTCAAAGAATATTTTTTTTAGAGCTATGGAGCGATAGCACATTGGGTAGGGCGTTTACCTCGCACAGGCCGACCTGGGTTTGATTCCTCCGCCCCTCTTGGAGAGCCCGGCAAGCTACTGAGAGTATCTCGCCCACACGGCAAAGCCTGGCAAGCTCCCTGTGAGTGATGTATTAGATATGCCAAACAAAGTAACAAGTGTCACAGTGGAGAAGTTACTGGGCCTGCTCGAGCAAATCGATGAACAATGGGAGGACAGTGCTACAGTGCTATGTTCCCCATGCAATTTCAGTAAAATAATAGCAACCCTACTTTTCTCTCCAAACTAAAATACTCCTTATCACTTTTTGCCTGTTTTCCTTTTTTTGTTGGTCCCTATCCATGCCCCTTACTAGAATGTAAACTCCTGAGTATAGGAATTTTTGTCTGTTTTATTCACTATTATATCCACAGTACTTAAAATAGTATTTGACTGCAATAAATAATTTTCAGTAAATAATTGTCAAGTATGTGAATGATGCAGAAACAACCCAAAAGACTAAATATTTATAGCATAGCAGAGAGTTCACAGAGTCTCATTTGATCTGCTGTACATCTTATGGGCTTTCCTTTGTATATAAGTTCCTTTTTTGATCTTTTCGCATTCAACATTCTTCTCTATTTTGGAATTTGTCATTTTGAGTTTAATGTATCTTGTAGTTTCCCTAATTGTGTCTATTTTTGGTTCCCATGGATCTCAGTGCCTATAATACTTAACTCTGAAGTTCTTATTCACTATTTTTTTCACTTTTTTTATTGATTCATAGGGAGCAGGCAGAGGGTCGGCACCTGCCCCCATCTGGAGTGGCCTGGCAAAAGTGGCCTATTGCAAAGTCTAGAGCCATCTCTTCAGCAAGTTGTTCGGGTCTGAGATTCATTTGTGTTCTTATTCACTATTTTTTAAACCTATGCTGTTCATTTCTTTTCAGACTATTTTCCTCCATCTGATGTTTCCTAGTGGTTTCCTCTTTTTCATCTTGGAGTTCCTTGATCTTTTGCTCAGCTTCTGTTATTCTGCTGCTCAGAGCTTCTCTTGACTATTTTATACGATCTACGTAAATATTCTTCATTTTTGTCATTTCTGACTGTAGTAGCACTGTAGTACTGTCCTCCTGTTGTTCATCGATTTGCTCGAGCAGGCACCAGTAACGTCTCCATTGTGAGACTTGTTGTTACTGTTTTTGGCATATCAAATATGCCATGGGGAGCTTGCCAGGCTCTGCCATGCAGGCAGGATACTCTTGGTAGCTTGCCGGGCTCTCCAAGAGGGGCAGAGGAATTGAACCGGGTCGGCCGTGTGCAAGGCAAATGCCCTACCTGCTGTGCTATCGCTCCAGCCCCTGACTGTAGTAGTTTTTTCATTTCAAATCACATTTGTTAGTGCTTTGATGACTACTTGTGTTACCGTTTCTTTAAACTCACTGAACATCCTTATCACAATGTCACTAAAGAGATTGAGGATTTAATGGTGTTATTTATGTCTTCAACAATACCGTTTTTGCTCTTTGAACTTGCTGGACTTCCTTGTGTTTTTCCCATTGATTTTCTGGTGTTTTTGCTATGCTGGGGGGTGAATCTTTATCGTTAATTTCCTTAGAATTAATTGAGGGATTAAGCTGGAGATTGCTCTCTATCTTCTCTGGGATGATAGAGCAGCAAACAGAAGTTCAGAAAAGAGCTGTGGTTTGAGCTGTTAATATGGCACAGGTTGGGGTGGAGGCTGCTAGGACCCACCCAGTAGGGACGAGATTTGCCTGTTTTTCTAGAATAGCCCAGTGATATCAGCCAGGGGTAAGCCTTACCTGGAATGATGGAGCAGCCACCAGAAAGTCCCATCATTTCTTTCCTAAAATTTATTTTATTCAAATTGGAGAAAAATCACCGAATTAAAGCATTTACCTTATTCACAGTGATCCTGGTTTGATCCCCAGCACTGCCTATGGCCCCCTGAGCACAGTTAAGAGTGATTCCTGAACACAGACCAAGGAGTAATCACCAAGTGTGACCCAAATCCCCTCCCTCCAAATTATTTTATTATTGTGTAGGTGACATTGTTAAAATATATGGAGTTACTAAACCCACTACCACCAAAGTGCTCAATGCCCTCCACCAATGTCCTTAATATTACTTCTAGTTCACCTCTTCATTCTTCCCCTCACTGCTTAGTAATATTGATTTTGTTATACAAGGTCAAGGATTTGTCATTATTTGATACTAGACTTGCAGAATTTCAACAGGATTTTTCAGAACTTATTCTGAGCAATGGTGGGGTAGAGAATATACATTCTATGAAAGAAAGAACAACATGTGCTAAGAAATGGGGGTAAGAAATCAAGAAGTATCACATGACATTAGAATTTTTTATTTGAGGGGAGTATATAGAAACTAAATATTAGATAGGTGATTGGGTATTCAGTATGAAATGCATTCTGGAAGCAACCGTCCAAGTTTCTCAGTAAGAGAATAATGGGATCAGAAAGTTTCATCAGAAATTGTAGTCTTCAATGGTTGTTTATTGGTTTGTAGAAGCTGGAAGCAGAAACAGCATTCAGGAATTCAAGAACATTTCTTAATGAGTTACTAAGGAAAATTTCATAGGGTGTTGGAAACAGAATAAGATTTTATATGTGAGAAAGTTGTAATTTTTGGATTTGTATGCTAGTGAAATGTGAGGCGTATAAGACCAAAAATAAATCTGTGATTATTGTTCTTAGCAATCTCAAAATCTGTATGTCAGAAAAAATTGCCTACATCAGGGGGAAAAATAAGTTTGGTCCTGGGTGTATTAAGTAGAGTATCAGTGGAGGCATCCAGGTGGAGACCTAGTAAATGGGTGGGAAATAAATGACTGAAATTTAGGATTGCAGCAGTTAACTTAATCAGTAGAAGACATTGCTATGAATGAAATGTCCATAGGGAATTAATTTTTGCTCCTAGAAAATGCATATATTTAGGGGACTGAAAGAAAATGATCCAATAAAACTGGAGCAAGAGTTCTATGTGTTAGGTAAATCTGGGTAAACTTAGCATTTATATGATGTTGGTAGTTGTTTACATTGTGTAGGATTTTCTAAAAATCATTAAAGCAGAATGTATCAAGTGCTTTAGAAAAGTTTCTATTCCTTGACATAGCAAATAGATTCCCTCTTCTAAGACTCCATTTCAAGAAGACTGTCAATGTGGATAATCAATGTAAAAATGTGGATAAATTTTCATGCTTAAATATATATATAAATTGCATATGTGATATTGGGGTCTATGAAAGCTAAATTTAGGAGAATGAAGTAGCATGGGGGAGGAAGAAGCAGGAGGAGAATCAGAGAAGAATGGAGATGGGATTGGAATAAACTGCAACTAAGACAATCAGTCTGGCCCTCGTTTCCTTCCTTTGCCTGCCCATCGCCATCGACACCCCCGGGGTGGGGGAAGCAGGGTGAGACTACCGAACGCTGGTGGTGGGAGAGACAGAGCTGCTGCTGCTGTTGTCCTTTTTTGAGTTTACACATCATAAAGGTACCACCTTCCTCCTTTGGGAGGTCAGGGAAGGACAACCTTAAGGAGATTAAGAGATCTAGGCTAAGTGAAGTTCTAATTCAAGGAGTGGCATGAATGAAAGCCTAGAAAATAAGAAAATATTGGACACATTCTGAACTTCAAGTTATTCAATATAACCGAAACATAAAATGTTAAGGTTTGAATAAGAAGAGGCAAAACTGAAAAGTTAGTCAAGGGCCAAATGAAGGAAGATGTATCCAATGATGCTTAGGAGAGGTCCGGGAATGTAGTTCATCAGCAGAGCACATGCCAGAGTAAGTAAGGTCCAGGATTTAGTATTGAGAATCTGTGGTCTAGTAGTGCTTCATCAACCACATCATCATCAACCTCTGTATATTGTGAGAAAACAAGGCCCTCAAGAGAAAGCAAGGTTTCTGTCATCCCTCAGCAGTAGAAAGGGAAATTACAAAAGAAAAAAGGCAAGAATAGTAGAGATAAGGATCAGGGGATTTACTCCATGGCTTAGAAGCCGGCCTCAAATGCTGGGGGAAAAGGCAGATCAGATAGAGAAGGGAACACCAAGTAAAGGGTATTTGGAGGACCAGCTCAGGTTGGGAGATGTGAGCCGAATGTAAACTATAAATCAAACACAATGGCCACTCAATGCCTCGAGTGCAAACTACAACACCCAAAAGGAAAGAGAGAACAAAAGGGAATGCCCTGCCTCAGAGGCGGGGTATCGGGGGATGGGGTGGGGGTGGTGGATGGGATACTGGGACCATTGGTGGTGGAGAATGGGCACTGATAGAGGGATGGGTACTCGATCATTGTATGACTGAAATGCAAGCACAAAAGTTTTTAAGTCTGTAACTTTACCCCACGGTGATTAACTAATAAAAAATTTTAAAAATAATAAAATAAAATTAACCTTTGAAAAAAAAAGAAAATACCTAAAAATCAGGACTTCAGTGGTAACTTAATAGAACAGGGGTCCCATAATCTTTAATGAGGAGAGCAAATCCAGAGACTGAAGGAAATGACAGGGCTGTGTTTCCAGGGGTAAGAGTGGGGAAGGGCCCTTAAGGAAGTCTAGAGACAGACAGGCACACAGGGTCTGTTGCTGGCAAAGAGGCTGTGTAGAGACGGCAGCATTTTCCTAAGGAATAAATGTGTTCAAATGGCTGGCTCCACGGTTCCAGTTGGAATGCATGATTGAATAAATATTCTTTGGTATTTTGTATTTAAAATGCATAGTTGTGTAAAGCCTTCTGTTTAATAATTGGCTATTTAATCATGCCATATTGTTTCATATTTTAATATATTTAGAATTTTTATCTGTCTAAATAATATTTAAGTACATAGTTAGAATGCATTACGTCAAATTGGGGGTGATATTGTGTTTAAATTCCTGTACTGGAAATAAACTGTTACTTTATTATGCAGTTGGTGGGAAGGTGAAATATTACATGCACTTTAGAAAGCAGTTTAGTGCATCTTACAAAAAGTTAAACACTTACTTTTCCAGACATTTCTCTCTTAAGTTTGCATATAGAAAACAAATATGTGTGCTTAAAGAATTAAACACAAATGTTCTTACTAGTTTTATTCATGAGAGCTAACAGTGAAAAATATTTAAATGCTCTTTACTTCTAAATGTATAAACAAAGTAGAATAGATCCAGATAATGGAATATACACTGTTATTCAGGAGTGAAAAGAAACAAATGTAGTTATTCATGCAGAAAACATGCATGAATCTTGAAAATATTTTGTCAATAGAAAGAGTCAAGAAATGAAGGAGCACAGTTTAAGACATCTGTGGGGCCACAACCAGTAGTGCTTAGTGGTCACTCTTGGCTTAGATGATGCTTCCATCAGTACTTGGGGACTTTGTGACTCTGGGAATCAAACCCAGGACCCTTTGAGTTATTTACTGATCCATTTAGGTAATATTTTAAGAAGACATAGAAATTATTGTGCCAGAAATCAGTCCATGTTTTCCAGGGAGCAGAGGCCAGAGGGAGGGATTGACTATGCTGTGGAATGAGGAAGCTTTTTTTAAATTTTTATTTATTTATTTATTTATTTTTGCTTTTTGGGTCACACCCGGCGATGCTCAGGGGTCACTCCTGACTCACGCACTCAGGAATCACTCCTGGCGGTGCTCCGGGGACCATATGGATGCTGGGAATTGAACCTGTGTCAGCCATGTTGGCTGCATGCTAGGCAAATGCCCTACCCGCTGTGCTATCGCTCCAGCCCCAGGAAGCTTTTAAAATGCTTTTTATCTCAGTTGTTAAGGTTGTTACATACATGTTAACTTTTGTCAGCCCATTTACTTGTAAAGTTAATAATTCGTTAATTACTATATTATGCCAGTTATGCTATAATAATAAAACTAATTTTGCAAAACTTAAAACAGGAAATAGACAGTTGCAAATAATAATTGTACAACATTCTTTTATTTTAGGACCTCACTAACTTAACCAGATTGAGCTGCTTAAAGGATTTATGTCTGAATGACCCTCAATATAAAAGCAATCCAGTTTGTCTTCTATTCAATTATTCCATACATGTATTATATCATTTGCCTTCTCTTCAAAGACTCGACACATTTGATGTATCTGCAAAGCAGATCAAGGAACTGGCTGATGTAAGTGCATTCCTACTCCAGTGTCTCACTTAAATCTGATCGCATCTTTCTGACTGTATCCACAGATCTTAGATAGTAGTATTAGAAAACATTATTGCTAAAATATGAATTGAGGTGACAGTACTGGGAAGCAAAATAATAAACATTTATACTTTGTACAGAACTTTCCCCCATTTGTTCATCTAGTTAAACATCCAACAACTTATTTTGAGCATATAAAATGTCCCAAAAATACCTAGCATGCCGAGCCTTCCCATCTTTTCCTTGTGATTTGCCCATCATTTCAACGTCGATTGCCTCGAGCAGGCCCCAGTAACGTCTCTTTCATCCTAGCCCTGAGATTATATTCAGGGCTCTTTAGGAGAATGAGACCCATCATTGTTACTGGTATTTGGCATATTTGGTAGGCCACGGGGAGTTTGCCAGACTCTGCCCTGTGGGCAGGCTACATTCGACAGCCTGCAAGTTTGTCCAAAGTAGGAATGAGATAATAAGATGTCGCGCGGCCGCATTTGCGGCCGCGCGGTTCCGGAATCTGGATTTTATAGTCTCTGAGTCTTGGCCGCTGATGGGATTACACGGCGCCAGGGGGCCAGGTGGTGGGTGTGACCTCCGCCTACTGGAATTTGGAGGATCTGGGTGGAAGATGCTCGACTCCAATTCGAGTAGGCTTGGAGGTCTCGGCCCCGGAACCCGCGTGGATTTGTCCCTCTGCCAGTACCTTCAGGTGTGCGGAGAGTGGTCTCAGCATGGTGGTGGCTGGTCCTGGAGGTCACCAGCTGCCGTAGCCCTGGCCGGGGCGGGGAGGAAAGCTCAACCCGCTCCCCTCCAAGGGACTCCGGGAAGGAACACCGAAGCGCGGGGGCAGAGACTGCACTGCTCTCGTCCGGGATCTGGATTTTATAGTCTCTGAGTCTTGGCCGCTGATGGGATTACACGGCGCCAGGGGGCCAGGTGGTGGGTGTGACCCCCGCCTACTGGAATTTGGAGGATCTGGGTGGAAGATGCTCGACTCCAATTCGAGTAGGCTTGGAGGTCTCGGCCCCGGAACCCGCGTGGCTTTGTCCCTCTGCCAGTACCTTCAGGTGTGCGGAGAGTGGTCTCAGCATGGTGGTGGCTGGTCCTGGAGGTCTCCAGCTGCCGTAGCCCTGGCCGGGGCGGGGAGGAAAGCTCAACCCGCTCCCCTCCAAGGGACTCCGGGAAGGAACACCGAAGCGCGGGGGCAGAGACTGCACTGCTCTCGTCCGGGATCTGGATTTTATAGTCTCTGAGTCTTGGCCGCTGATGGGATTACACGGCGCCAGGGGGCCAGGTGGTGGGTGTGACCTCCGCCTACTGGAATTTGGAGGATCTGGGTGGAAGATGCTCGACTCCAATTCGAGTAGGCTTGGAGGTCTCGGCCCCGGAACCCGCGTGGATTTGTCCCTCTGCCAGTACCTTCAGGTGTGCGGAGAGTGGTCTCAGCATGGTGGTGGCTGGTCCTGGAGGTCACCAGCTGCCGTAGCCCTGGCCGGGGCGGGGAGGAAAGCTCAACCCGCTCCCCTCCAAGGGACTCCGGGAAGGAACACCGAAGCGCGGGGGCAGAGACTGCACTGCTCTCGTCCGGGATCTGGATTTTATAGTCTCTGAGTCTTGGCCGCTGATGGGATTACACGGCGCCAGGGGGCCAGGTGGTGGGTGTGACCCCCGCCTACTGGAATTTGGAGGATCTGGGTGGAAGATGCTCGACTCCAATTCGAGTAGGCTTGGAGGTCTCGGCCCCGGAACCCGCGTGGCTTTGTCCCTCTGCCAGTACCTTCAGGTGTGCGGAGAGTGGTCTCAGCATGGTGGTGGCTGGTCCTGGAGGTCTCCAGCTGCCGTAGCCCTGGCCGGGGCGGGGAGGAAAGCTCAACCCGCTCCCCTCCAAGGGACTCCGGGAAGGAACACCGAAGCGCGGGGGGCAGAGACTGCACTGCTCTCGTCCGGGATCTGGATTTTATAGTCTCTGAGTCTTGGCCGCTGATGGGATTACACGGCGCCAGGGGGCCAGGTGGTGGGTGTGACCTCCGCCTACTGGAATTTGGAGGATCTGGGTGGAAGATGCTCGACTCCAATTCGAGTAGGCTTGGAGGTCTCGGCCCCGGAACCCGCGTGGATTTGTCCCTCTGCCAGTACCTTCAGGTGTGCGGAGAGTGGTCTCAGCATGGTGGTGGCTGGTCCTGGAGGTCACCAGCTGCCGTAGCCCTGGCCGGGGCGGGGAGGAAAGCTCAACCCGCTCCCCTCCAAGGGACTCCGGGAAGGAACACCGAAGCGCGGGGGCAGAGACTGCACTGCTCTCGTCCGGGATCTGGATTTTATAGTCTCTGAGTCTTGGCCGCTGATGGGATTACACGGCGCCAGGGGGCCAGGTGGTGGGTGTGACCCCCGCCTACTGGAATTTGGAGGATCTGGGTGGAAGATGCTCGACTCCAATTCGAGTAGGCTTGGAGGTCTCGGCCCCGGAACCCGCGTGGCTTTGTCCCTCTGCCAGTACCTTCAGGTGTGCGGAGAGTGGTCTCAGCATGGTGGTGGCTGGTCCTGGAGGTCTCCAGCTGCCGTAGCCCTGGCCGGGGCGGGGAGGAAAGCTCAACCCGCTCCCCTCCAAGGGACTCCGGGAAGGAACACCGAAGCGCGGGGGCAGAGACTGCACTGCTCTCGTCCGGGATCTGGATTTTATAGTCTCTGAGTCTTGGCCGCTGATGGGATTACACGGCGCCAGGGGGCCAGGTGGTGGGTGTGACCTCCGCCTACTGGAATTTGGAGGATCTGGGTGGAAGATGCTCGACTCCAATTCGAGTAGGCTTGGAGGTCTCGGCCCCGGAACCCGCGTGGATTTGTCCCTCTGCCAGTACCTTCAGGTGTGCGGAGAGTGGTCTCAGCATGGTGGTGGCTGGTCCTGGAGGTCACCAGCTGCCGTAGCCCTGGCCGGGGCGGGGAGGAAAGCTCAACCCGCTCCCCTCCAAGGGACTCCGGGAAGGAACACCGAAGCGCGGGGGCAGAGACTGCACTGCTCTCGTCCGGGATCTGGATTTTATAGTCTCTGAGTCTTGGCCGCTGATGGGATTACACGGCGCCAGGGGGCCAGGTGGTGGGTGTGACCCCCGCCTACTGGAATTTGGAGGATCTGGGTGGAAGATGCTCGACTCCAATTCGAGTAGGCTTGGAGGTCTCGGCCCCGGAACCCGCGTGGCTTTGTCCCTCTGCCAGTACCTTCAGGTGTGCGGAGAGTGGTCTCAGCATGGTGGTGGCTGGTCCTGGAGGTCTCCAGCTGCCGTAGCCCTGGCCGGGGCGGGGAGGAAAGCTCAACCCGCTCCCCTCCAAGGGACTCCGGGAAGGAACACCGAAGCGCGGGGGCAGAGACTGCACTGCTCTCGTCCGGGATCTGGATTTTATAGTCTCTGAGTCTTGGCCGCTGATGGGATTACACGGCGCCAGGGGGCCAGGTGGTGGGTGTGACCTCCGCCTACTGGAATTTGGAGGATCTGGGTGGAAGATGCTCGACTCCAATTCGAGTAGGCTTGGAGGTCTCGGCCCCGGAACCCGCGTGGATTTGTCCCTCTGCCAGTACCTTCAGGTGTGCGGAGAGTGGTCTCAGCATGGTGGTGGCTGGTCCTGGAGGTCACCAGCTGCCGTAGCCCTGGCCGGGGCGGGGAGGAAAGCTCAACCCGCTCCCCTCCAAGGGACTCCGGGAAGGAACACCGAAGCGCGGGGGCAGAGACTGCACTGCTCTCGTCCGGGATCTGGATTTTATAGTCTCTGAGTCTTGGCCGCTGATGGGATTACACGGCGCCAGGGGGCCAGGTGGTGGGTGTGACCCCCGCCTACTGGAATTTGGAGGATCTGGGTGGAAGATGCTCGACTCCAATTCGAGTAGGCTTGGAGGTCTCGGCCCCGGAACCCGCGTGGCTTTGTCCCTCTGCCAGTACCTTCAGGTGTGCGGAGAGTGGTCTCAGCATGGTGGTGGCTGGTCCTGGAGGTCTCCAGCTGCCGTAGCCCTGGCCGGGGCGGGGAGGAAAGCTCAACCCGCTCCCCTCCAAGGGACTCCGGGAAGGAACACCGAAGCGCGGGGGCAGAGACTGCACTGCTCTCGTCCGGGATCTGGATTTTATAGTCTCTGAGTCTTGGCCGCTGATGGGATTACACGGCGCCAGGGGGCCAGGTGGTGGGTGTGACCCCCGCCTACTGGAATTTGGAGGATCTGGGTGGAAGATGCTCGACTCCAATTCGAGTAGGCTTGGAGGTCTCGGCCCCGGAACCCGCGTGGCTTTGTCCCTCTGCCAGTACCTTCAGGTGTGCGGAGAGTGGTCTCAGCATGGTGGTGGCTGGTCCTGGAGGTCTCCAGCTGCCGTAGCCCTGGCCGGGGCGGGGAGGAAAGCTCAACCCGCTCCCCTCCAAGGGACTCCGGGAAGGAACACCGAAGCGCGGGGGCAGAGACTGCACTGCTCTCGTCCGGGATCTGGATTTTATAGTCTCTGAGTCTTGGCCGCTGATGGGATTACACGGCGCCAGGGGGCCAGGTGGTGGGTGTGACCCCCGCCTACTGGAATTTGGAGGATCTGGGTGGAAGATGCTCGACTCCAATTCGAGTAGGCTTGGAGGTCTCGGCCCCGGAACCCGCGTGGCTTTGTCCCTCTGCCAGTACCTTCAGGTGTGCGGAGAGTGGTCTCAGCATGGTGGTGGCTGATCCTGGAGGTCTCCGGCTGCCGTAGCCCTGGCCGGGGCGGGGAGGAAAGCTCAACCCGCTCCCCTCCAAGGGACTCCGGGAAGGAACACCGAAGCGCGGGGGCAGAGACTGCACTGCTCTCGTCCGGGATCTGGATTTTATAGTCTCTGAGTCTTGGCCGCTGATGGGATTACACGGCGCCAGGGGGCCAGGTGGTGGGTGTGACCCCCGCCTACTGGAATTTGGAGGATCTGGGTGGAAGATGCTCGACTCCAATTCGAGTAGGCTTGGAGGTCTCGGCCCCGGAACCCGCGTGGCTTTGTCCCTCTGCCAGTACCTTCAGGTGTGCGGAGAGTGGTCTCAGCATGGTGGTGGCTGGTCCTGGAGGTCTCCGGCTGCCGTAGCCCTGGCCGGGGCGGGGAGGAAAGCTCAACCCGCTCCCCTCCAAGGGACTCCGGGAAGGAACACCGAAGCGCGGGGGCAGAGACTGCACTGCTCTCGTCCGGGATCTGGATTTTATAGTCTCTGAGTCTTGGCCGCTGATGGGATTACACGGCGCCAGGGGGCCAGGTGGTGGGTGTGACCCCCGCCTACTGGAATTTGGAGGATCTGGGTGGAAGATGCTCGACTCCAATTCGAGTAGGCTTGGAGGTCTCGGCCCCGGAACCCGCGTGGCTTTGTCCCTCTGCCAGTACCTTCAGGTGTGCGGAGAGTGGTCTCAGCATGGTGGTGGCTGGTCCTGGAGGTCTCCAGCTGCCGTAGCCCTGGCCGGGGCGGGGAGGAAAGCTCAACCCGCTCCCCTCCAAGGGACTCCGGGAAGGAACACCGAAGCGCGGGGGCAGAGACTGCACTGCTCTCGTCCGGGATCTGGATTTTATAGTCTCTGAGTCTTGGCCGCTGATGGGATTACACGGCGCCAGGGGGCCAGGTGGTGGGTGTGACCCCCGCCTACTGGAATTTGGAGGATCTGGGTGGAAGATGCTCGACTCCAATTCGAGTAGGCTTGGAGGTCTCGGCCCCGGAACCCGCGTGGCTTTGTCCCTCTGCCAGTACCTTCAGGTGTGCGGAGAGTGGTCTCAGCATGGTGGTGGCTGATCCTGGAGGTCTCCGGCTGCCGTAGCCCTGGCCGGGGCGGGGAGGAAAGCTCAACCCGCTCCCCTCCAAGGGACTCCGGGAAGGAACACCGAAGCGTGGGGGCAGAGACTGCACTGCTCTCGTCCGGGATCTGGATTTTATAGTCTCTGAGTCTTGGCCGCTGATGGGATTACACGGCGCCAGGGGGCCAGGTGGTGGGTGTGACCCCCGCCTACTGGAATTTGGAGGATCTGGGTGGAAGATGCTCGACTCCAATTCGAGTAGGCTTGGAGGTCTCGGCCCCGGAACCCGCGTGGCTTTGTCCCTCTGCCAGTACCTTCAGGTGTGCGGAGAGTGGTCTCAGCATGGTGGAGGCTGGTCCTGGAGGTCTCCGGCTGCCATAGCCCTGGCCGGGGCGGGGAGGAAAGCTCAACCCGCTCCCCTCCAAGGGACTCCGGGAAGGAACACCGAAGCGCGGGGGCAGAGACTGCACTGCTCTCGTCCGGGATCTGGATTTTATAGTCTCTGAGTCTTGGCCGCTGATGGGATTACACGGCGCCAGGGGGCCAGGTGGTGGGTGTGACCCCCGCCTACTGGAATTTGGAGGATCTGGGTGGAAGATGCTCGACTCCAATTCGAGTAGGCTTGGAGGTCTCGGCCCCGGAACCCGCGTGGCTTTGTCCCTCTGCCAGTACCTTCAGGTGTGCGGAGAGTGGTCTCAGCATGGTGGTGGCTGGTCCTGGAGGTCTCCAGCTGCCGTAGCCCTGGCCGGGGCGGGGAGGAAAGCTCAACCCGCTCCCCTCCAAGGGACTCCGGGAAGGAACACCGAAGCGCGGGGGCAGAGACTGCACTGCTCTCGTCCGGGATCTGGATTTTATAGTCTCTGAGTCTTGGCCGCTGATGGGATTACACGGCGCCAGGGGGCCAGGTGGTGGGTGTGACCCCCGCCTACTGGAATTTGGAGGATCTGGGTGGAAGATGCTCGACTCCAATTCGAGTAGGCTTGGAGGTCTCGGCCCCGGAACCCGCGTGGCTTTGTCCCTCTGCCAGTACCTTCAGGTGTGCGGAGAGTGGTCTCAGCATGGTGGTGGCTGGTCCTGGAGGTCTCCGGCTGCCGTAGCCCTGGCCGGGGCGGGGAGGAAAGCTCAACCCGCTCCCCTCCAAGGGACTCCGGGAAGGAACACCGAAGCGCGGGGGCAGAGACTGCACTGCTCTCGTCCGGGATCTGGATTTTATAGTCTCTGAGTCTTGGCCGCTGATGGGATTACACGGCGCCAGGGGGCCAGGTGGTGGGTGTGACCCCCGCCTACTGGAATTTGGAGGATCTGGGTGGAAGATGCTCGACTCCAATTCGAGTAGGCTTGGAGGTCTCGGCCCCGGAACCCGCGTGGCTTTGTCCCTCTGCCAGTACCTTCAGGTGTGCGGAGAGTGGTCTCAGCATGGTGGTGGCTGGTCCTGGAGGTCTCCGGCTGCCGTAGCCCTGGCCGGGGCGGGGAGGAAAGCTCAACCCGCTCCCCTCCAAGGGACTCCGGGAAGGAACACCGAAGCGCGGGGGCAGAGACTGCACTGCTCTCGTCCGGGATCTGGATTTTATAGTCTCTGAGTCTTGGCCGCTGATGGGATTACACGGCGCCAGGGGGCCAGGTGGTGGGTGTGACCCCCGCCTACTGGAATTTGGAGGATCTGGGTGGAAGATGCTCGACTCCAATTCGAGTAGGCTTGGAGGTCTCGGCCCCGGAACCCGCGTGGCTTTGTCCCTCTGCCAGTACCTTCAGGTGTGCGGAGAGTGGTCTCAGCATGGTGGTGGCTGGTCCTGGAGGTCTCCAGCTGCCGTAGCCCTGGCCGGGGCGGGGAGGAAAGCTCAACCCGCTCCCCTCCAAGGGACTCCGGGAAGGAACACCGAAGCGCGGGGGCAGAGACTGCACTGCTCTCGTCCGGGATCTGGATTTTATAGTCTCTGAGTCTTGGCCGCTGATGGGATTACACGGCGCCAGGGGGCCAGGTGGTGGGTGGCAGTCTCTGCCCCCGCGCTTAGGTGTTCCTTCCCGGAGTCCCTTGGAGGGGAGCGGGTTGAGCTTTCCTCCCCACCCCGGCCAGGGCTACGGCAGCCGGAGACCTCCAGGACCAGCCACCACCATGCTGAGACCACTCTCCGCACACCTGAAGGTACTGGCAGAGGGACAAAGCCACGCGGGTTCCGGGGCCGAGACCTCCAAGCCTACTCGAATTGGAGTCGAGCATCTTCCACCCAGATCCTCCAAATTCCAGTAGGCGGGGGTCACATCATTTCAACATAAAGAAAAAATGTTTTTATTCATTTAACTTGATTTTCTCGACTGCTCTTGAGAATTTGTTCACAAATTTAATTTTCTTTTTTCTCTTTCCCCCGCTAAACTGAGAAGATTCTCTGCCCTCATCTCCTCATTTTTATATGGGGAAGAGGATAGAGGCACACTCAATGATGCTCAGGGCTTACTCCTGTCTCTGTACTCAAGGATCACTCCTAGTAAGGGCTCAGGGAACTATATGGAGTGCTAGGCATTTCTCATTCCTAATTCTAAGAAGTAAACTATCTTGAAATATTGAACAAAGAGCCAGAGTTATTATCTACTAGATAATGTTCATAGTCATACATGAGGGATGGGCATTATCCTTTCTATAACATTAAAATAAAAAATGATGCACACCCCCCTATTATGGAATTTTCATATATGTGTAGTTAGTTTTACAAATGACAGTTTCTGCATACTGTTTCTCATTCAATGATGAGACTCAATGATGGGTCTCATTCCCCTGACCATGAAAGAGCCTCCAATGTGGCACTTGCTAAAATCTCAGGCCTAGGACGAATGGAGTCATTACTGGTGCCTGCTCAAGGAAATCGATGAACAATGGATGACAGTGATACAGTGATACATATTTTTAATTGAGTTAACATTGATTTACCCAACTGCATATGTTTTAGGGGTAAAATTCCATATCTCTTCAAAATATATTACCACACCACCGCCACCACTATAGTAACACTGTTTCTCTACCACAACCGATTGGATAACCTCACCACTTTGGTCTCTCATGTGGTAATCTCAGTTCTGCTGTTTAAATACTACTTCTTAGACATGCTGAAACAAAGAAAGAAAGAGAATGGTTTACTTTTTCTTTTTTGTTTTTTGCATTTGGCTTTTGGGACATAACCAGAAGTGTTCAGGGCTTACTTCTGGCTCTACACTCAGGGATTATTTCTGATGGGGCTCTGGGGAGTATATGCGTGGCCTTATGGAAGGCCAGTGTCTTACTGCACTATCTTTCTGAATTGATTTATATTATCTTCGCTTTTAATTATTTTTGATGAAGTTTGTTGATATTTTTCTCATTTTTAGATGACAGTAATGAAAAAAACAATGTATTATAATATGCGTTTGAAAACTATTCAGCGACATCTTGACGAAGACCTTGAAAAGTTAAATAATCGAAAAGTCAAATTAAGGAAGTTGCCAGAAGAGCGAATAAAATTATTCAGCTTTGTGAAAAAAAATGTAAGATTCAATATTATAAATTTTCAATGGCTATATCTGAAGAAAACTGCAAAATCTTTTAAATTATATATGTGTGTGTACTTATTTATAAATAACTTATTATTTTGAATTTCAAGTTACTCTCTCCCCAGAATATCTTGATTCCAGGTACTTAGCTAAGCTCATTTTGTGTATACAAGTCTGCAATTGAAGAAAGCTATAGGCTTACTAATGAAATTTTTAAAAAACTCTGTAAAAACAATGATTCCAAGATATTAGAGATCTTTAAGCTGCATTTTCATTACACACCACCGGGCTGTGCTCAAAATTCATTTTCTTATCTAATTTGTTAAAATATTCTTTTACTAACATTATAAAGTATATAACATAGTGGGAACTTTAAATTGTTTTACTTTAGTGGTTGGAGCTGGAGCGATAGCACAACGGTAGGGCGTTTGCCTTGCATGTGGCCAACCCAACCAACCCTGGTTCAATTCCTCCGCCTCTCTCGGACAGCTCAGCAAGCTACCGAGAGTATATCACCCGCAAGGCAAAGCCTGGCAAGCTCCCCGTTACATATTCAATATGCCAAACACAGTAACAAGTCTCACAATGGAGACATTACTGGGCCCACTCGAGTACATCAACGAACAATAGGACTGAGAGTGACAGTGACTTTAGTGATTATATGTACTTTTTTAATTTAGTAGATCCTAAAAAAGTAAGGATTTTTAAATCTCTAAATGGATATTTATAAAGTCTCCAATGGAGATGTTACTGGGCCCGCTCGAGCAAATATAAAAATGTAGTGCACAAAAAAAGGCAAAGAAAATATAATTATTTAGCAAATAGTATTAAAAAAATAAACAATTGAGAGTAGAGGAATTGTGTCCTTAGTTTACTCTTTACCAAAAATAAATACTGATGGGAGTGGAGGTAGGAAAATATGCTTTGATAAAAGATAAAAACAATAATATCTGTTAACCAGACAAGGACTGGCATCCTGAACTCAAACTTTTAAACTTCAAAACTGTGAGAAATTTCTGTTATTAATAAGCACCAAAAAAACTATTCAAAATTTATCTAAAAGTATTATAATTCTTCATAAAGAGCAACCAGAATAAGATAAAATTATATTTTAGCTTTCATTTTTGTTCTGGAAATCACTGTCACTGTTCTCCCGTTGTTCATCGATTTTCTCGAGCGGGCCCAGTAACTTCTTCAGTGTGAGATTTTGTTGTTACTGTGTCTGGCATATTGAATACATCACGGATAGCTTGCCATGTGGGCGAGATTCTCTCGGTAGCTTGCCGGGCTCTCCGAGAGGGGCAGAGGAATCAAACTCGGGTCGGCCATGTTGGCTGCGTGCAAGGCAAACGCCTTACCCGCTGTGCTATCACTCCAGCCAGTTCTGGATATATAAGAAAAATTTAGAAATCACACACAAATATGTCCACAGAATAGAATTAATGAAGAACAATTTTTTTCAAAACTTCAATTGTGGTCTTTCACGCAGCGGACCCGATGCTTTCAAGCATTGGATGGGAGTTGATCCTCCACCCTTCTTGAATAGCCCAGCAAGCTACCGAGAGTATCATGCCCGCATGGCAGAGCCTGGCAAGCTCCCCATGGTGTATTCAATATGCCAAAAACAGTAACAAGTCTCACAATGGAGACATTACTAGTGCCCGCTCGAGTAAATCGATGAACAGAGCGGAGGACAGTGCTGGACAGTGCTTAATTGTGGTCAAGATTCATCCCATAGAATTCCAAAAGTATTTTCTTGAACTAAAGAAATAGAAAGGTTAATTTCAAGGAACCTTCAGTATAATCCGTGATTCTTAGAATGTATTTTTATTTTTTTATTTGGGCAGTCTCATTTACAAAGTTATACCAAGTTGAGTTTCAGGTATGCAATTTTATACCACCATTTTGTCACCAGTATCCACTTTTGCCTTACCCCCTTTTCTGTCCCACCTCCCAGCCTGTCTCCTCAACGCACACATATCTAAGTTAGGTTAATGTAGTTTGGATCTCATGCTCTCGGTTTTGTTTTTTTCTGTGGTTCAGATATTTACATAACACCTCGTCATCACCAGGGGCCCTGCTTCCTTCTCCTGTTATCCTCAAACCCCCTCTTTTCGCTTCCCCCTTCAGTTTCTTTCTTTCCCCGTTCTTAGTTCTACACTTCAGGTTCCAGGGTAATCTAGGTATCCCCCTTTGATTCCTGATTTTCCCTTGTCCTTTTATTCTGTATACCACAGATAAGTGAGTTCATCTGATATTTGTCTTTCTTCTGACTTGCATAGCTCAAAATGTCTTCCAACTTCATGCAAATTGCAACAAATTGCATGATTTTATCCTTCCTTGCAGCTATGTTATATTCCATTGTATGTATATACCACAACTTGATTATTCACTCATTTGTTTTCCGGATACCTGGGTTGATTCCAGTTCCTAGCTATTGTGTTAAGGTGCTGCAATGAGTCACTTGATCATTTGACTTCCTGTTAATCGTCGATTTGCTCGAGCAGGCGCCAGTAACGTCTCCATTTGTCCCTGTCGCGTGCTAGTGTAGCCCAATGGCGTCTGTTTGCTCTAAGAACACGAAGAGCCTCAAACCGATCGTTCATGATCTTGATGAAGAAGTCTGACCATCTGGTAGGTGGTCGGCCACACAGTCTTTTGACATTCTGTGGAATCCAGTCGGTAACAGCTCTAGTCCAGCAGTCGTCTCTAAATCTCATCACGTGACCAGCCAATCTGATTTTTGACACCTTGGCAAGCGTCCCTGATTCTTGATCATCGATGGAGGTCGGAACTCCGGATTCTTTCTCTCATTTGAGTGAAACGTGATATTCCAAGCATAGCTCTTTCAATTCCTCTTTGGGAGACCCTGATAGTGTTCTCATCCTGTTTGCATAGGGCCCGGGTCTCTGAGGTGTATGTTAATGCAGGAAGAACAGTGGAATCAGAGATGTGCCCAGAGCCGGAGGTTCTTCGTCCTCTTAGCTATTTCTTCTATGCTCTTGAAGGCGCTCCAAGCTGCTCTCTTCCTCCTGTGCAGCTCAGGTGCCATGTCATTTGTATGCTGACTTCTCGACCTGGGCTGGAGCGATAGCACAGCAGTAGGGCGTTTGCCTTACAAGCGGCCAACATGGCCCACCGGAGTTCGATTCCTTCGCCCTTCTCAGAGAGCCCGGCAAGCTACTGAGAGTATCTCGCCCGCACGGCAGAGCCTGGCAAGCTCCCCATGATGTATTTGATATGCCAAACACAGTAACAACAAGTCTCATGATAGAGACGTTACTGGGCCTGCTCGAGCAAATCGATGAACAACGGGAGGAACGTGACCGTGACCGTGACTTCTTGACCTAGGTACACATAGCTGTTGCATTCGGAGATGGTCGTTCTGTTGAGAGCGAATGGGGAGTCAGGAATGAGGCTGTTTCTCATAAACATTATCTTCATAAGATTCAGCTATAGTCTGACCTTTCCACACTCACGGTCGAAGTCGGCCAGCATTTGTGCCGCTTGGCTAATGTTTGGTGTTATTTAAACAATGTCATCAGCAAAGCGGAGGTGATGTAGTTGCCGACCACCTATCTTCACTCCCATTCCTTCCCATTCTAGTCATCGCATGATGTTCTCAAGGGTGGCACTGAAGAGTTTCGGTGAAATGGTATCACCCTGCTGAACCCCTCTCTTGACATCAATGATTACTTCTTTGTAGAATGGTGAGATCCTGGTAGTGAATATGTAATACAGCTCACGGAGGATCTTGATGTATTGAGTTTGAATGTCCTGATTGGCTAGGGCTTCAATGACCGCTTCCGTCTCAACAGAGTCAAAGGCCTTCTTTAAATCAATGAACATTAGACAGAGCGGCATCTTGAACTCTCAAGAAACCTCAATGAGCTTGGTTATCGTGTGGATATGGTCGATAGTGCTGAATCCTTTTGGGAATCCAGCTTGCTCGCATGGTTGTCCTTCATCTAGTGTTCTGCCAATCCTATTCAGGATGACTCGAGTGAACAACTTGTAGATGACAGACAATAGGCAGATTGGGCGATAGTTGGCAATGTCATGGATGTCTCCCTTCTTGTACAGTAGTATAGTCCTGCTGATTTTCCATTGGGACAGAACCTTGCACTCAGACAGGTAGCGTGTGAAGAGCCGAGCCAGCATATTGATGAGTACTGACGGCAAGTTCTTCAGGTGTTCAGGTCTGACCTTGTCTGGGCCGAGTGCTGTTCGTTTCTTTACTGACGAAATGGCGTGTCGGATTTCGGGAGGGAGAACATTGGGAACGACATATCCATCCTGTGGAATTTGGTATGTCGGCAGGTGGACATGTCTATCGAAGAGATTTGAGTAGAAGTCATAGATAATCTTCTCCATTGCCCTTTTGGAAGATATGATAGATCCATCAGGACGTCGGAGGGCAGTCATCTTGGTCTTGTAGTTGGCGAAGGACAGGCGGGCGTTACGAATACTTTTCTCGGCTTCTGCTGCATCTACCAGCACTTCTGCTCTTCTCTCTTTGAGGTCTTCCTTGATTGCATCTCTGCACTGCTTTGCGAGCTCGGACGTTCACTTGCGGTTGCCTGAGGCATGCACCAAGCCACATTGGCGAATAAGCTCAAGAGTTTTCAAAGACAGGCGTTTGTTTGTGGCTATCTCTCTCTTGGTGTTCCTCACACAATCATGGAGGTGCTGAACCAGTCAATCGTATTCCTCATCAATGTTATCAACAATGGCATCTACTACCCAGCCGCCGCCCGCCACACTCCAGGATGCTTTCCGGACCTGCGCGGCCACTTAGTGTGACACATTATAAGACACTAAATACCCATCTTCCAGAATTGCCATACCATATTTGATACCCATCTTCCAGAATTGCCGTACCACATTTGATCGGGTTCAAATATGGTAACACCTACAAGGGCGATTAGAGGTCGCCCCCAAAGCCTCTATCCCTCTCAGAAAGCCTGGCAAGCTACTGAGAGTATTCTGCCCGCACAGCAGAGCCTTGCAAGCTATCCATTGTGTATTTGATATGCCAAAACCAGTAATTACAATGGGTCTCATTCCCCTGACCCTGAAGGCGTCACCAATATGGCAGCATTGAGAAGGATGAGAAAGGAGAGGCTGATAAAATCTCAAGGCTGAACTAGGCTGCCACAACAAAGGAAGACAAAAATGACCGTCTGCTGCAATGAGTAATCATGGGCATATGTCCTTTTGAATGAATGTTTTTGTGACCTGGGGTATAAAACCTGAGTGAAATTGCAGGATCATTGGATAACTATTCACACTTCTCTGACATCATCTCCATACTGCTTTCCATTGGGATTGAAGCCGACACCATTCCCACCAGTAATGAATGAAAGTTCCTTTTTCTCCAGATCCCCTCCAACATTGATTGCTCCCATTTTTCCCCCACATGTGCCATTCTCACTAGTTTGAGATTTCTCATTATCTTCTGATTGAATTTTCTTGATGAGAAGTAATGATGAGCAGTTTTTCATGTGCCTATTGGCCATCTGTTTGTCTGCAGTGGTGAGGTTTCTCTTTATTTCCTCTCCCCCCCTTTTTTAAATTTAATTTTATTTTTTTGCTTTTTGGGTCACACCTGGTGATGCACAGGGGTTACTCCTGGCTCTGCACTCAGGAGTCACTCCTGGCGGTGCTCGGGGGACCATATGGGATGCTGGGAATCGAACCCGGGTTGGCTGCATGCAAGGCAAACGCCCTACCCGCTGTGCTATCTCTCCAGCCCTGTTCTCCCCACCTTTTTAAGGAATTTTGGATGTGTTTTGTTTATTTTTGCGAGTCCCTTGTATATATTAGATATTAAACACTTATCTGATATATTGAGTGTGAACATTTTCTCCTGTAAAGTTTGATGTCTTTTAATCGTGAGCGGGTTTTTGGATTTTTTTGCCATGCACAAACTCTAACTTAATGTAGTCCTATTTGTTTAATGTTTTTTTTTTCTGTTTCCTCTGCCAATGGTATCATGTTGTTGAAAACCCCTTTAGACTATTCTGCCAATATTTTCCTAAATGTACTTTATGGATTATGGTCTTATTGCATAATCTTTGATCACTTTGAATTGGTTTTTATGTATGGTATGAGATATGGATCCAGATTTTTTTATATGTGGTTACCTAGTTTTCCTGGCACCATTTGTTGAAGAGGCTGTCTTCACTCTACTTCATTCACCCAGCTTTCTTCTTGAAAATTAGTTGACTGGTTGACTAGTTTTCTGGATGATTGTTCTTAGGTACTTGATTCTAACCCACTGGTCAGAGAATCTTTCCTTCTTCCAGTACAAACAATATTTTTGAGGAACATTTATATGAGTATATTTAACCCCAGATTATCTTTCTCTGGTCAAGAGAAATTGGCTAGCCAAAGTTATAATTATGGACTCAGTATTATCTAGATAGCTACATATTTGATAGCGCCTACCGAAAACATTTACTGTACTACATTGATTTCACAGTTGGAGCGAGAACTGACTGAACTCAAGAAACTTGGCTATTGGAACAATAATAGATTCAGTAATAGTAAGGTATTTGAACCTGAAAAATCAAAGAATTGTGAAATTGACACTGAAGATACAAGGCTTCAGAAGAAGATACTGACGAAACTAAATGCCTTGAATGAAAGGATAACATTCTGGAACAAAAAACTAGATGAGTATGTTTAATGAATTATTTAGTTCAAATTTGAAACATTAGAGAACAGAATGTCCTAGATTTTCATTTGAACTCAGTTCCCTTCTTTGGAAGGTAAAAGAATCATAACAGTGAAATAAAACATGAAATGTGTTTTCATTTCAGTTTGTAGTAGACTTAGGTATCATTGATTCAAAGCATATAGTTAGGAACAGTAAATTTTGTCATGGTTATTTTTTTTGTCACCCCACTACTCCAGTGGTTGTAAAAGTAAAAAAACATTTAACCTGCTTCTTATATATAAAATCATCCATAGATACCTGGATAGTCCCCTGGGATCATATAGAAACAAACTGAAGTTGAGTCTTCTCTGAAAAGATAAAAGCAACATAGCCTAATTAGTACTGGGAATTAAAAAAAATTACTGGGCACCAAGTGAATAAATTTTGTTTACTCTTTCACACTAAAAATAAAAACTTGACATTTATTTGATTCTTACTATACCAAACTCTGTTAAGATCCTTACTTAAAAGTGTTTTTCATGGATTTCTCAGCAACGTCTTTTTGGGTGTAAGAGAACTTATTACAGTAGTAACACTACCATTTTACCAAGAAACTGCACCATAGAAAAGTTGTGACTTGTCAAAAAACTTAGAATTATAATTGGATAATTATACAAGATAATTGTATTTTACTTCTCACTTACTCTGAGGTTAATAAAATTTAAGATAATTTTAATTGCCAAAAATAGGATGTCTTTTATGTGATTTAGCTCAACACTAAATTGTCTTGTATTAACACCAAGTATCCATTGACAAAAGCCTTGTATTTTAGCATGTTTAAAAAAAAATTATCTTGTATTTTAATGTGATTTTTAAATCACTGTAGAAGATATATGTTTTTTCTTATATAGAATTGAAGCAGTTTATCATATGGAAGTAAAGCAAAAGAAGAAAAGTCATGGCTTATTGATCTCATTTTTATTAATTGAGTTGGAGAGTGTGGGAAATATCCACTTTGAGGAAGGTACTCGTTCTGATGACTGGTAAGTCTTTTTGAAATTTTGTTATGTATTGATAGATTATTTGAAGTACTTAGTATCAACAATCAAAGGTAATCAATGTTTAAAATCTTAACTTGTCCCATTTTTAGACCTTTCTCAATATTAACGATATTTACTGAATATTGAGTTATCCCTTTTACCATTTATATATTTTTATTTTTATACCATTGCCATGGAATAGCCTCCTAATGGGGCTAGGGAGATAGTACAGGGATTAAAGCACTTGCCTTGCCTGAGATTGACCTGGTTCAAATCCCCAGCACCATCATCAGAGTTCAAACCTGAGCATAGAGCCAGAAATAGCCCCCGAGGACTTCAGGGCATGGCCCCAAAACAAGAAAGAGAAATGAAAACCTTTTAATAGTATTTTATTACTCTTTACTCAATTTTCTTTATCGCAAGAGCAGGGCATAATTTAGGAAAGTTTATAATCAGTTATTAATTTTATGCACATTTATTATATTCAATTTTGACTGAATTCTGGATCCTAAATATTATGTGAGAATCTCAAACAAAGGAGTTTCAAAACAGAAATGACAGCAGCAGTTTGCAAATACCCGGAGAGGCTGCCTACCAAATTTCCTAGGGCCACATAGTCAAAGCCAAAACCCGTTATCTAGAGCAATCTTTTTGCAAACTTAAGACAGGGTATGCATGGTCCTATGCGTTAAAATAGAGTTACATATATGCTCGTGCCAGAAATGTGGCAAAAAGCCTATTTAGGAAAAATGGAAAGAACCATAGAAAATGAGGCAGGAAACAGGCATCCATACTTCAGAATGGAAGCCCAGAAAAAGAAAGTGATGCTTCAAATAGAGAGTGATGCTTCAACTAGAAGTTACAACCAAAGGAACAATCCTAAAAGGAAAACAAAGTCTTTGTAAAAACAATATCCGACTACTTCTTTCACATTTCTACTATCATTTTTTCAAAAGTTAAAACTTTTCTAAACTCTTTCAAAAGAGAGCTCGAGAAACACATATCTTTAGAATGGACTTCACCTTGCCCCTGGAGTATGATTTTACTTGCAGACAGTATTGAAATAAACGCCGATTCGTATGAAGTAAAATGCAAATTTTCATTAACATTTTAGAAAGAAAATTGTTATTCTTAACGCGTTACGGGAGACCAAGTCACCAATTTCTATTTCATGTTGCTCTTACTTCCCTTTGTGAGTAAAAGGTTTTTAATGACCTTAGGAGTACTTTAGTGGAAAACTGTGAGAAATTCTACACTAGGGAAAGAAACCGTAAGAATACCTTCTTTTGTATCAATAAATCCATTTGCCTATGAGCTACCACTGTTTACTTAATCACAATACTTGATTTTTATATAAAATATATAAAGGGAATTCTGCTCAAATCCTGTATAAATGAAGTCCTTGAGTTTTTAAGTGCAGAAGTTGAATGGTTTCTGCAGGGTATAGGGAAATTTCTCAGTTGGCCACTTATATTTATTTAACACAAATAAAATAGTTTTTTTAATTGTTTGTTTCTTTCTAATTTATTGAAAATTAAACTCTTATAGAAAAAGAAGATTAGGTGGGACAGGATGTAAAACAAAATGCAAGCAAACAAAAAAAGCCATTTAGGTAACTATGTCAACCAGAGATAGCTTTGATGGATTTTGATAAGTATAATAATTGTTTGCTTGCTTTTATTTTTGTATTTTTGTATTGTTTTGTTTTGTTTTGTTTGGGGGGTGGGGGCATAGCCTTCAGTGCTTACCATGCTGAGCGGGGTATTGAACCTAGGTCTCCCGCATGCAAAGCATGTGCTTGGTCCACTGAGCTATCTCTCCTGCTGTTTCTTAGTTTTAACTATAGCCTTGCACCATTCCAAAGAGAAAATAAAATAAAATAAAATTTTTGTAGAATTTCAGTGACTTCATTTTTTTTTTACATACAATAGGCTTGGCCACCTTAGCTCTGATCTGTTAAGAAAAACCTACTTACAGATACAGCCTTCTTAGAGATACAGCACATGAGGTGCATGTCTTACCTGTATGACGCTACATATGATCCCCAAGCAACACTAGGGGTCACTCCTGAGCACAAAGCCTGGAACAGACCCTGAACCCGGCCATGAGTGGTGCCAGACGAGTGCAAGATCAGGCGATTTCAAGTCAAACGTCCTACCCGGTGTACTATCTGTCCAGCGCCGAAACTTTTTTTCCCTAATGGGGCCAAACCTGACAGTATTAAGGGGCATTCAAGGTGAACCAGAGTCATATCCAGTACAGCTGGGCTCAGTGCCACATGCAACTATGCTGGGACCCAACAGCTAGGTGCCCAGTGTTACCAGAAGATTGGGGTGAGGTTCACATTCAAGCCTTAGCACTTATTAACATGAGCTTTCTATCCAGCCCCTGAACAGTCTTGACTTCATCATCTCCTGTAATCTCCAAATCCACAGGTCTTTGGGTCAAGACCTCACAAGTTCTCTTCACTACTCTCTCTCATGCTGTCCTTTGCATTGTGACCCAAATAACTTGCACGTGGTCCCTCGGAGCCTTCCCATTAGACTATAGCTACTGTATTTAAACAAGTGTCTGCATGTGTAGACACTTGGTATTTGTTTATCAATCAGTAAGGAAACCTAACAGTTTCGCAGATGTTTCCTACTAGCATACTTCCTAGACTGTTAAAAAAAAAAAGCCTCATGTAGCAATTAACCTGCCAAATCACATTCAAACTCTTCACCCTGACATCTTGTCCTTCACTCTGTGGTCTGTAAAGTTTTCCAAATCCTTAGCTCAGACTCAGCAGTGTGTGCCTCACTACTCTTAGAACATTCCTGGTACACCACCACATAAGTGGTTTCTTTGTTTTATTCTCTTCTCCCAGAATGCCTTGCACCCCTCTTGCCTGCACTTCGCCATTGTGTGTTAAAATCTTCAAGGCCAGCATAGAAAGTCATCTTTTGTAAGGAATTTTCTTGTCATCTTCATCAAATAGTCATTCTTTTTGAATAGAGCACTGAGATGTGTCTCTTCAATCTTAACCATATCAGAATTTTTCTATATTCACTATATTAATTTCTTGCTCCTTTGGTTTATAAACTCAATGGGGGAATACATATCTCATATATATATGTATATATATATATATATATATATATATATATATACATAGAGAGAGAGAGAGACACTGCATTCAAATTCATCTTTGGGTCTTTTTTTGCTTTGTTCATTTGCTCAGCACACATCCATCTGAACATTTATTATAATACAGATTCTCTGCTAAGAGCAATTCAAATAAAATACAGTTCTTGTTTCCATCAAATCTGCATCTAGTGTGGGATACTATAATAATAAAACCGTAGTAAATTTTGGGATAATTGAAGTTAGAATGTGGATTTAAAGAATGGTTTCTAGAAATGAGGACACTTAAAGAATTTTTTTAAAACTTTTTATTGAATCACAGTGATATTTTTTAAATAAAAATTTTATTTAGGAAGATTGGGAGAGAGGAGATAAAAATAAACCCCATAAAGTAAAAGAAAGGAAATAAAGATCCCAAGTTGAGATGCAGGCAATTTCAAAGTGGAATGTGCCAACAATTTTTTTTGTATTTTTCTTTTTATCATTATAGTTCAGGTAATATCATTAGAATAGTGTTCATATTTATAATTTTTACATATAGTTACTGCACCTTCACCACACCAAAATGTTCAATACCCTCCATCACTGTTCTTATGTTATTTCTAGTCCACCTCTGACCTCCTCCTCATCCCCTTCCACCAATGCTTGCTAATCTCAGTTTTGAAATCCAACATCTTGCAAATGTTTGTCAGCATTTAGCATTGCCTTGTTTTATTATGAGAGAAATAATTTGAGAACTCCTAATTTCACTGGTTCTGTCTTTGCCAGTGAGAAAGGTAGATAGGTGCTCTAAATTTTAAACTTAGTGAAGCTAAATTTAGACTCAGATGGTTGTAAGATGTCTCACCTATGTGATCCTAGAACATGGTTAGGTCCGCATTGATTTTTCATATGATAAGCAAGCAATTCATCAAAAGAAAATTTATCCCAAAGAGAATCATTTAAATTCCTTTCCAAATTTATTTATTTTGAAGTCTCTTCTTAAACTAAATTCTGTACTACTCTAAGACCAGAACTATTCTGAGTATGGCTAGGTGAGGTCAGAAAAGAACAAGAGAGCAGAATATTTTCTGAAGATCGACATAGCAACTGGTCCCTCCATCAGTGTATTTGGTTCAGTTCTTAGGTTTTCATTTGGAAAGTCTTACTCAAGAACTACCTTAAGTTGCCTCCCCACCCCCCCCCCCATCAACTCCTTACTAAAAGCCTCTCTTCAAAGCATTGCTTACTTTAGAAATGATTTATTTGTACCTTTTGGGTCCAATACTCTTGGAATATGGACTCAATGAGAGTATTGTTCCTATCACTTTCATTTCTACATCCCTAGTATAGAGTTATTATAGTAGTCCCAACAGATATGATACGGATTTGGACTAGGATAATAACAATGGTAAAGATAAAATAGGGTCATAATAACAATGTATTTTAGATGTAGAGCCCAACAGATTTTTTAAAGAATTAGATATTGGGGAGGAAAAGAGAAGGCAAAGATTGTTCCCAGATCAGTATTACTGGTTAGATGATAATACCAGTTAGATGGTAAAACTATATACTAAGATGAAAATCACTAAGAAGGAGTAAGTTTAGGGACAGATTTTGGGTGAATTACATATTTATCAATTCAACAATTTGGGGAGCCTATTACATATGCAAGTGAACCTTCTTAATGTTGGATATTCAGGCCTGGTATATCCTGTTAAGCTGAGCGTAAATCAAGTCGTGGTGGAGGGAGTTGGAAACAGTAGATAGGGCCAGAGAGCTAATACAGCATCCCATATGGGCCCCTAGCATCAACAGGAATGTTTCCTGAGTGCAGAACCAGGAGTAAGCCCAGAGCACTGCCAGGTGTGGCCTAAAAACCAAAAAAAAAAAAAATAGAAATCAGTAGATGTATTTGGTTATAATACACACACACACACATATGTATATATGTGACTAGGCTGGAAAAATAATACAGGGTGCATAAAGCACTTATCTTGTATGTGATCTTGCAAGGACCAGTTAGGTCCTTGGTACTGCACGCTACCTTCCTAGCAACCCCAAGAGTGACCCCTGAACAGAGAGCCAGACGTGACCACTGAGCACCTATGGGTGAGGCCCAAAACTCCCTGCCTTATTTTGCCCCCCAAATTCTCTAGGGATATTGTTCATAGAAATATAAGGAGAGGCAAAGGTCCATTCCTCAGGCAGTTTAACATTTCAAAATTTACCAAAGGAAAATGAAGCATCAAAGAAGACAAAAAATAATAAGAAGGAAGCAAGAAATACTTTCACCGAGGCCAAAAAAAAAAAAGGAGTTTCAGTTGTGGGAATTTCTCAACAAATATGTTTCAGTCAAATTTACATACAAGTGGTACTACATGGAAAGTATCATGCTAAGCGAAATGAGTCAGAAAGAGAGGGATAGACATAAAAAGATTGCATTCATCTGGGGGACATAAAGTAACAAAATAGGAGATTAATACCCAAGAATAGCCGAGATCAGTAGCAGGAGGATTACTCCATGGCTTAGAGGCCAGCCGGGCATTCTAGGGGAAAGGCAGTTCAGATAGAGAAGGGAGCACCAAATAAAGGGTGTTTGGAGGATGCTCCCTGGATGGGAGATGCATATTGAAAGTAGACTATGGACTGAACATGATTGCCACTCAATGCCTCTTTTGCAGACCACAACACCCAAAAGGAAAGAGAAAACAAAAGGGAATGCCATGCCACAGAGGCAGGGTGGGATGGAGGAATGGGGGTGGGAGGGATACTGGGATCCATGGTGGTGGAAAATGGGCACTGGTGGAAGGATGGGTATTTGATCATTGTATAATCGAAACCCAAGCACAAAAATTTGTAAGTTTACAACTGTACCTCATGGTGTTTCACTAATAAAACACTGTCAACAAACAAACACTGTCCTCCCGTTGTTCATCGAGTTACTCGAGCGGGCCCAGTAATGTCTCCATTGGAGACTTTCTTGTTACTGTGTTTGGCATATAGAATACATCACAGGTAGCTTGCCAGGCTCTGCCATGTGGGTGAGATACTCTTGGTAGCTTGCTGGGCCCTCCGAGAGGGGCGGAGGAATCGAACTCGTGTCGGCCATGTTGGCTGCGTGCAAGGCACATGCCCTACCGCTGTGCTATCACTAATAAAAATTTTAAAAAATTAAAAAATTTTAAAAAAATATGTTTCAGTCAAACCAAATATATAATAATAAATACTTGATCACTTGATCACTGATACCCCATTACTCATCAATTTGCTCGAGCAGGGTCCAGTAACATCTCCATTCATCCCTTTTGCGTGCTAGCATAGCCCAATGGCATCTGCTCGTTCTAGGAAGATGAACAGCCTCAAACCAATCGTTCAGGGTCTTGACGAAGAAGTCTGGCCATCTCGTAGGTGGGCGTCCATGTAATCTTTTGACATCCTGTGGAATCCAGTCGGTAATGACTCTAGTCCAGCAGTCGTCTCTAAATCTCATTATGTGTCCAACCCATAATTTTCAATGCCTTCGTAAACGAGACAGCTTCCCTGATTCTTGAGCATTGACAGAGGTCAGAACTCTGGATTCTTTCTCTCATTGAGTGAAGCCTGATACTCCAAGCATAGCTCTTTTGATTCCTCTTTGAGAGACCCGAATAGCATTCTTATCCTCTTTTCGTAGGGCCCAAGTCTCTGAGGCATATGTTAATACAGGAAGAACAGTGGAATCAAAGAAATGTGCTCAGAGCTGGAGTTTCTTCTTCCTCTTAGCTATTTCTTTAACGCTCTCGAAGGCATTTCAAGCCGCTCTCTTCCTCCTGCGCAACTCAGGTGCCATGTCATTTGTCATGTTGACTTCTTGACCTAGGTACACATAAATATTGCATTCGGAGATGGTCATTCCGTTGAGAGTGAATGGAACGTCAGGAGCAAGACTGTTTCTCATGAACATTGTCTTTGTGAGATTCAGCTGTAATCTGACCTTTCCACACTCACGGTCGAAGTCAGTCAGCATTTGTGCTGCTTGGCTGATGTTTGATGTTATTAGAACGATGTCATCAGCAAAGCAGAGGTGGTGTAGTTGCCGACCATCCATTCCTTCCCCTTCCAGTCGTCACATGATGTTCTCGAGGGTGGCACTGAAGAGTTTCGGTGAAGTAGTATCACCCTGCCAAACCCATCTCTTGACATCAATGATCACTTCTTTGTAGAATGGTGAGATCCTGGTAGTGAATCCATAATACAGCTCACGGAGGATCCTGAAGTATTGAGTCTGAATGCCCTGATTGGCTAGGGCTTCAATGACCGCTTCCATCTCAACAGAATCAAAGGACTTTGATAAATCAATGAACGTTAGACAGAGCGGCATCTTGAACTCCCGAGAAACCTCAATGAGCTTGGTTTTCGTGTGGATATGGTCGATGGTGCTGAATCCTTTTTGGAACCCGGCTTGCTCGCATGGTTGTCCTTCATCTAGTGTTCTGCCAATTCTATTCAGTATGACTCGAGTGAACAGCTTGTAGACGACAGACAATAGGCAGATTGGGCAATAGTTGCCAATGTCATGGCTGTCTCCCTTGTATAGTAGTACAGTCCTTCTGGTTTTCCATTGGGACGGAAAATAATAAATACATATTTTAAATATATTTATATAAGAATGAGTTATTTTATGTTTCAAAGCTTGGCATCTTTTACTGATTATGCCAAGTATAAACTGAAATGCAGCTTCTATATAATATCTTTAGCAAAAAAAAGTATGAACTTTAGACGTTATCACAAAATAACTGTTTTCTTTAAAATTTTAAGGAAAATCTGTTATTTTCTCTTTATATTGTATATTCTCATACAGGTTTAATTCCTGTTACGAATTAATTTTGTCACGTTTTTGTACATGGGACTTCAAAACATATGGTATTATGGGAGTAAAAGTAAAACGCATCATTAAAATTAACAACCGTATTCTGAGACTAAAATTTGAAGAGAAATTTCAAAAATTTTTGGACAATGAAGATATACATCATTCAGAGTAAGAAGTTCTCTAAGGAAAATCTTAATATGGTTTTATTTTATTTTATAAAAATGTCTTTTGAAATTAGAATATTAAAATATGTCATCATAGTAAATATTTTTATTAGCATGCTTAACCTTGACTAGGTTGAGAACCTAGCTTGGTTACTTCCTCTTTTTGAGATTGAAGGAGAGAATAGTTTTAATAATAATGATGGAACATCCTATATAAGTGTGAAATATCCCAGGCAGAACATATGAGTGTTCTTTTCTGTGTCTAAGCTTATTTGAAAATCAATTCTCAGACATTTTTTAATCTCAATTATTTTCAAGGAACTGTGAAAAGATGCTGGAATGCCTTTTTTATGTTTTTGATCCTGAGAGTACAGTGAAGAAAAAACACCTACTACAAATACTTGAAAAAGGATTCAAAGACAGTGAAACAACCAAGGTAGAATAAAATATTCAGACTAATGCTCTCTTCCTAATGAACAAAATGCTACCCCTAATTAAGCATGATTTGTCGCTTAATCATTTTGTCCCTGTTTATAAAACACTATTTGCTATTCCACAGGCAACTTAGAGATATCATTAAAAAATAGAAAATCTTCCTTCTTTGGATTTTACTGAGAGTCATCAGTTACCTTGTCTGCTTGGCTATTTAGACTTTCTAGGCTACTTTTTTTTAATACAGTTATCTTTATAACTGTTTAAATACAGGTTTTTTTTATACAGTTATCTTTATGTCTAGATTTTTAAGTCAGTTTCTTTACTCTGTTTTAAACTCCTGGAGGTCTTTTTCTGTCTTAAAAAAAAAAGCAATTCATTTAAAACTACAGCATTTTCTAGCTATCATGCTATTTTTCTTTTAGTGTCACCATTTCTTTCTCCTATTTCATATTTTTCCTTTTTCTGCTGATAGTCTTTATCAGCAATATTACTTGTAACTTCAAAATCAGCCTTCCTACCTGCTTGGAGAAAACTGCTTCTCTCTTATATAGAAAAGAACCTCTTAACCTTTTCCACATCAGGGCTCACATAAAGTTAAAATGTCACTGATATTGCAGTGACAGCTGGCTTCTTACTCAGCGGTTTTCTGACTTTGCCTCTCAATGCCTATTTTTTCTGTATAATGAGGATAAGAACTATCTTACAAAATTTGTGGGATTTAATGAGACGTACATTGAAAAATTTGTGGATATATGTGTATCAGTGTAATAGCATCATTACTCACAGTAGCCAAAGTAGAAATCACCCAAATACCCAATAACAAATAATGGATTTTTAAAAAAGTATGGTATATACATACACATATATACATATGGATGAGTAGTATTCATCCATAAAAAAAATGAAATTTCTGGGATTAGAGAGATAGTACAGCAGGCAGGGCGTTTGCATTGGCATAAGGCTGACCTAGGTTCCATCTGTGACACTCCATATGATCCCCTGAGTCCACCAGCAGTGATCCCTGAGTACAGAGCCAGGAGGAAGCCCCTGAGCTTGTGTGGCCCCAAAACAAGAAACAATAAAAACTGTAATTTTTATTGTGTTATTATAATGGGTGAACCTCAAAACACATTATGCTAAATGGAAGAACCCACACATAAATAAACAAATAATATATTTTTATAAGAAAAATTTATTCTAGATATAGGCAAACTGATGGAAACAGAAAGTAGAAAGGATGTTACCAAGAGATGGGGTGGATAAACAAGTGGGGTGGTTAATGTTAAATAAATACAACTTCTCTTTGGGATATAGAAAGATCTAGGAATAATGGTCATAGTTAAAGAACTTTGTCAATACACTTAATAAATTAATCGCACACTTAATCATTAAAATAGTAGCATTTGCCATATACATATTTAATATACTCACAAATCACCAAAATACATGCCCGCAGTGCTAGCAGGAGAGATGAGAGAGAAGTTGGAACAAATGCTGGGGTTTCTCTGAGGGTGAGGGGCACATCTGAAGCAGTGAAAGCCAGAGCAGTGGTGGCTTCAGCAAGATACCGTGGTAAGTGTCCCCCTTATTTTGGAGAAGTAAGAAGGAGCTGAGGAATTGAGGACTTCAAAAAGTGGGATGAAGAATTCACAGTCCTTCCACACGAGTCTGAACTTTCCACATATTTTCTGTCTGCCAGACACTGTACTAGTATGTGTCTCCTAAAGGAGATCCATCCATTTCTACTCTTGCCAACAACTCTCTATGTTGCTCCATTCTTTCAGAGGCCACCACCAATTTGTGACCACTGAATATCTGAAATTTGACTTATAAGAATTGAGATATGCTGAAAATAAATATGTGTGTGCGCACGCGCACGCACATTCATATGCACAGGGATCAAACCCAGGGCCTCACACATGCAAGGCAAGTGCTCTAACACTGAGCTTTTCTGACTCTAAATTTTTTAAGACTATATAGAAAAAAAACCATATTTGTTTATAATGATAATATGTTGAAGTGATAATATTTTGGCTATATTAGGTGAAATAGTATGCACTGCACTGTGCACTGTCCTCCCGTTGTTCATCGATTTGCTTGAGCGGGTCCACTAACGTCTCCATTGTGAGACTTGTTGTTACTGTGTTTGGCATATCTAATAGTATATATCATTAAAATTTACCAACACAGTTCTCAGAGCAATTCCTGGCACATAGAACATTAAGAAAATTTGTCATTTAGTCTGAAGTATTTGATGCTTTTGACTGTTCTTTCCTTTTTGAAACTTTTTTGATATCCATACTATACTGATATCTTCTTTTTCTCATGGTCACATTCTTGTTCCCTTTGGTTTCTATGCTTGCCTCTAAATATGAGACTATGAAGTAAAATTTTACCAATTTATGCTTCATTCTACACACTATCATACCCTTCTTCACGCTTCCTTTAAGATGATGGAAATTGGGGGTGGAGGAGAGGCTTGTAATTGACTGCAAAAAGCACTGTGCTGTGTATTGATCAGAGAAGCTGTATTTCTATGCTGCGATTGTGTAGAAATGAGTTAGTATAAATATTTCTGTTCTGCATCATTTTGGAGATAAGATATGATTTATAGGACAACAGCATAAGCAGCTTAGAAGAAGGAATTGGCTTAAACTAAGGATCTTTTGTTAGCTAGGGAGTTGGCTAACATGAGAAAAACAAATTTCTTTTAGCTAGCTTTTTTGTTTGTTTGTTTGTTGTTGTTGTTATTGTTTGGGCTTTGGGGCCACACCTGGCAATGCTCAGGAATTACAACTGACGTGCTCAAGAATTACTCCTGGTGGTGTTGAGGGAGCCATATGGGATGCTGGGGATCAAACCAGAGTCAGCCACATGCAAGGCAAGAGCCACTGTATTATCACTCTGGACCACAACTAATACCTTTGATACCTAAGGACTTGGTTGTTAGTTAGTCATAGGGAATATCCAATGGAGACGTTACTGGGCCTGCTCGAGCAAATCGACGATCAACGGGAGGTCCTTTACCTTTACCTTTAGGGAATATCATATATATATGTATATATATATGATATATATATATATATATATATATATTCTGGCTTTCTCCAGTGTACATTCTCAGCCAGCCCGTCTCTTACTGTCTATTCAGATATCTTCATCTACTCAAGATTAATCTGCCTTATATAAAATATTAAATTTTAACGATCCTTTAAATATTTTCCCATAAGCAATTCTCTCACAGTCTTCTGTCATTCCCTCACTGGATAGGTTCAGACCTTGAAATTATGTTTGACTATTCCCTTTTCCATTACTCCTACATTTAATTGCTGACCATTTCTAGTGATTTTTCCTTCATTGTATCTCTTATATTCTTCCATTTTCTCTCTATTCCTATTGCCTGTCACCATTTAGAACATTATTCCCAGTCTTTGCCAGTAGTTTCCTAATAGGTAGCCCCACTCTTGGTCTTGCCCTCTCTTCTTTTCACCTTTATCAGTAAGGAAAATTAGTCTTCCCTATGACTTTTTTTTATTTTAATGAATCACCATGAGATACAGTTACAGACTTACATTACTTTTATAGCACACATTGCACTGTACTCACAATGAGAAGCTTTCCATAGCTTCCCAGCACTTTTGGACAATTAAGTCCAAATTCCTCTGCCTTCAATTTCGGGCCCTTCTTCGAATTCTAAATTCAGTCTTAACTCTTTTACCAAATATGTAGCTATTCCAAATGAAGTATGTTCTTGAGTTGTGAGCCTCCTAAACATACTCAGTGCCATGCTTCTTTTAATGAAAGTTTTTTCCTACTTTTCCCTGTTGCGAGTTTATTTTTCTAGGTTCAAGGATTCCTCTATAAAAATGTCTTGCCTGAATTCTCAAACACTATGATCCCTGTACCTAGTTTGCAGTGAGTTAAAATGGAGAATTTAGATAAATTATTTTTTAAATGAGTCCTTTACTGTAACTAAAAATAGAAACTTACATTAATTTGTCTATATTTTCTTTTTAATTTTAATTTTACTTAGTCACCTTGGATTGCAAAGTTATTCATGATTGGATTTCAGGCATATCATGTTCTAACACCAATCCCATTACCAGTGTTTACTTCCCTCCACCAGTGCACCACCATTGTCCTCTCACCCACCAGTCTGCCTCTATGACAGGCACTTTTTCTCGTAATAACTTTTGGCATTGTGTTTTTCAGTACTGTTGCTGATAGAGTTTCATGCATAGTATTTTACCACCTTTCAGCATCCCCTCCTCCGGATTGAACACTTCCCTGCACCATTATCAAAGTGTTCTCTTCCTTGTCCTGTTCCTCCCACAACTCAAGTTGCGTGTTTCCTACTGAAGACCAGGTCTCATCATCCTTGTTTCAGTTGCCTTTGGACATTTGTTATTCCACTATTATAGCTGGAGCGATAGCACAGCGGTAGGGCGTTTGCCTTGCACGCAGCCAACATGGCCGACCCGAGTTCGATTCCTCCGCCCCTCTCGGAGAGCCCGGCAAGCTACCGAGAGTATCTCGCCCGCAGGGCAGAGCCTGGCAAGCTCCCTGTGACGTATTCGATATGCCAGACACAGTAACAACAAAGTCTCCCGATGGAGACGTTACTGGGCCCGTTCGAGCAAATCGATGAACAACAGGAGGGCCTTTACCTTCCCTGATGTTACTTTATACCCACATTATAAGAGAGATCTGTAGCACTGTAGCACCGTCCTCCCGTTGTTCATCGATTTGCTCAAGCGGGCACTAGTAATGTCTTCATTGTGAGACTTGTTGTTACTGGTTTTGGCATATTAAATACGCCACAGGGAGTTTGCCAGGCTCTGCCATGCAGGCGGGATATTCTCAGTAGCCTGCCATGCTCTCCAAGAGGGACAGAGGAATCGAGTCCAGGTTGCTACGTGCAAGGCAAACATCCTACCAGCTGTGCAATCGCTCCAGCTCATGAGAAAGATCATTCAGGGTAATTCTCTCTCTCTCTCTAAT